AGCAACGAAAAGTCTACAAACTCTGGCTAATAGCGAATGTTTGACAAATAGTAGGTGGGAGAACAGATGGCGTCACTCGAGCATCAGCCCACGCTAATGCCAGGACGCTCCTCGTTAATGAATACCGGTTATCTTCAACAAGCAGCATTGCCTTGCGAATAGCCCTGACTAGCACCGTGGCACATTGGTTACGAGAGGGTCGAAAAAAACCAACTGTAGAGGTGGGCATGATGACAGTGGACCATGTCAATTCGGAGAAGGGCCGATCGTTTGAGCGAAGAATAATCTTCCGAGAAGGCGTTTCCATTGGCCGACTATCTGCCCTGGAACCTGACCGAGAAAAGCTACAAGGGCTACACCGCCCCCAATATTCTCAAAAGAACAAGCAAAACAGGGTGTCGTGGCTGGTATCTGACAACAAAAGACGGGCGTCCATGTGGTGTTCCTTGTTCATCAGTCCCGATCCGGCGAGGTGGGCAGTGGTGGAAACTGTTGGTGTAGAACGATTCATCATGCGAGACGCTGGCTGGCGTGGCGGTTGGGTGTCACCGTTTCTCAGAGCCCTATGGCACTTGCCCGTTGTAGCTGGAGGGCAATCATTGTTTTTCTGACCACACGCTTTGCTGGAGATTGTCACGGTTGAGATGGACCCGTCGACGAGCTATCCACTCTTAACAACGATGCACAACACGAAAGATGTGAGGTACCGTTCCCGTTCTCGGCCCCGCTCCCGCCCGTCTCATCGCAAGTTTTCAACAAGCGTGGCACCACATGGGTCGCCAAATGTCTCGTCCTGGATCTGTTCTTTCCTCCGAATCTGAGCCGTGGGTCTGTCTGCTAGACGAGTTGACTGGGCGCTGCAAGCAGTGGGCGCTTGAGGCTCTGCTGTATGATACTTCCTCACGTACGTACACCTGGCCACGGCTACAACTGAAGTGTCGAGACCCGTCATTGCATAACCTTTGTGCCCCAACAAGCAATGATTCGTGCCAGACTTTGCCGGGCATCCTACTCAGACTGGGCCGGCTGCTTCAGCACCAGGACCGCCAGGTCCAGACAAGATATCCGGACTGTTGTCTGGACTGGTCTTCGTTGTCGGTGAAGGACAAGGAAGCCAGCAGCTGTACCTTAACTTGGACCACTGTGGTGAAACTGAGGTGACCAGCCAGCGGAGCGTGCGTGGCTCGTCCCTTTGTTGTCGGCAGACAGGTGGACCAGGCGGAGCATACAGGCCGGTGCCAATGGTATCTGTTAGTATTCCGTGGGGTCCCTAATAATTGTCTAGCTCGCGGCCATGTTGGGATTAGTCGTGGAGAAACCAAAGGGCTGGAGTCATAGTACACGACGAAGATACCAAAGCCCAAGAGAAACAATGCAACTAGCTTTGGATCGTTGGGCAAGGACGATGACTGTCTGATGCATGGTGCAGCTGCAAGAACATCGGTAAGCGGTGCCGAAACGGGAGAAATGATGATTGGAGAGTCGTCCTAATAGGCTGGCGCTGACGAGGTACACACACATACACGTACGTAGCACGCAGGAAATTGGGAGGTTCAAAACGCTGCAACATCGTTTGTCCCTCTCTGACAGGGCAAGCACATACACTGACACGGTCAGCGGAGGAGACGGGCAGGCTTTCCCCTCCCCTTTGCCCCTCGGCTCCACAATGCGGTCAAGACCCAATCAAGCTGACCCAATAAGAAGCGATCCAATAGATATAACCCCCAAGAGACTAGTGTAATTGGTATCTTATCGCCCCGGACTAACCTCGACAGGAGCCCAGTAAGGAGAGTAGGGGAAAGAAGGAAGTGGGAGGAAGCAGCAGGAACCGACTCCGCACCACAGGCACGGTACTCCGACAGGCAGGGCAGTGGAATAATAGGCCGAACTAAGTTTGCTGAAGCATGTACCCCACTCATATTCGGTACTTGGCTGACCACCTTTCCATTGACTGACGCACAAGTATTCATACTTTTTCAGACCAAACTTCAACCAGACCTGAGTTCGCCAGGCAACTTAAGGGCAAGTCCGTAGCAGGAGGGGTACGTCCAATGCTGCTGTAATGGCACTGGGGAGTATCTTTTGCCGCATTAACTGGTTCAGGGCCCAAACACAATCACACAAACCCTCCCGCCATGTCCTCTTCACGTGTCAAAGAAGAGATAGCGTTTCTCTGCCCGTTTCTACTGGCTTCTTTGTGCCTTAATTGGAAGCAACGTGGATACGCCCAGGGACAGGGACGCGAGACATTGCCGTCAATTCACAAAGACCAAGGCAAAGAGTCAGTTGAATCATCAGTCAAAACCTCACGGCCCGAAGCCGTCCGCCCCCGATTGGGACTCAAACACCAGCTTGATCCAATGCACCTAGCTTGACCCCCTGCGTCCCTTGCGGCCTTTGGACGACAACAACGTGTGTCCGTAGATGCCTGAACTCTGAGCGCCTCACCAGCAGGAGGGTGAGATGGCCCGTAAACCAGCAAAGACAGTCCACGCGCAGCTTACAGATCTGATGGCTTTTCCCAGGCAGACGCACGGAGGAATAGGCAAGTCATGAGCGACTCTAGCATTTGACCTGGGGCGGCCTCTCTTCCCCCCTCATACCTGTTGGAGAAGCCGGCCAAGCTCCCATGTCGGAAAGGTAATTAACCTTTGAACAACTGAGATCAAAGATGAAACGGACTTGGGTTCGTTTGACAGACAAGGCAAGCGTGCCATGCGTAATCAACCATCTCAGCACACCCTCTCGTTGCCGTTTTCCCATCTCCTGTGCCTTCCAGACGCCAGCGCAAGATACTTAGTCCATAAGGTAGGTACGGGTACCTTGACAAGGGGGGTTGATGAAGGACCCTGAGATTGGCAAGGTGCTACCCAAAATCTGTACACGTGTAGAGGCAAGGAACCTAGTAGATGCAGCAAGTACCTATACTGGGCAAGATGAAGGGACAAATTATCGGGGTTCAAGCACACAAAAAGGCTAAAATAAAACTAAGGTGAAGTGAGAAGGGACCGGAAGGGAAATGCCATTCGTGTTGAGCAGCCGGGCTCATGCATTTTTGGATTATTACTCTATCGCTCGCCCTCTACGCTGGACTAGAGCCCAATAAAGTAATTGAGAACAGAGGCAGCCCGCACCTCTTTCCGCTCTTTTTTGCTTCTTTTTCTCTTTTCTTTTTTCTCTGGACCCCATGTGATTCAGTTCAGCACCCCTCCCCAAACAGCATTGAAGCGCACCTAGTCACTGGCCTGGTCTCGCCCGTCCATTTACTGGTCGTGTGGACTGTCGCATCGTCGACTTCCCGCGTCCCGCTTCCCGTCCTTCCTTTCTGGGATTCACTCACGTCTTCCCCATTTTCTCCAACTTCCCCCCCAGCCGCTCTTTTCAGTCGAACTGTTGCCTCCCGTTCTACCGAATCGGCATTGTAATTTCCTTTTACATCGCTTTGCCATACCCCGACACTGGGCCTGTAAACCCCCAGCAAAGGCTAAGATATTACCACCAATTGTCACTCTTATTCCACACCACCACTTCCACCACGTTGGCGCTCCCCCAACTTTGCCCGCGTTCTACTGCCGCCTGCCCCTGGGTCGCAGCAGTCACTTGTCTCTCATGGTTGGCATTTAGTTGGTCAACTGCACTCTGAGCTGTCACCTACCAGCTTCTCCTGCCTCCATTCGTCGTGGGGGACATATCCAGCTGTGTCTCTATCCTGCATTGGGAGTGCTCAGCTTCAGGGTCCAACTCAGAAGGAACAGGCACAGGTCGCAGCAAACAGGGGCATTCGGCTCCCAGGCAAACAGTTCCGTTTGGCGACGGGTTACACATCCCGCGACTTTCCTGCAGACCCCATTCGCCCTTTCTACCCTTTGGGCCGCCCCCAAACCCCTTGATCTACCAGGCCGTGCTGCCCGCCCCCGGTTCATCGCTTGTCACGAGAGCGACAGAAACCGCCCGAGACGACTAAGAGAGAGAAAGAAAAAAAAAAAAAGAGGTTCGGCATGGGACGTGGAGGTACCCACCATTACCGCTGCCTTCCCGAAGGAATCGAATTGTAGTTCCCGTCATTGCCTGGACTAAGTACTCTTGTTCCTTCATCCCCCACCCCAAGCCCAAGGTAGGTAGCCTCAGTCGGTCCAGTCCAGCCCAACCTCAGCCAACAATTATCTTAGTTACGTTACGGCACGGTACCAGCGGATACTCTGGACTTTTAGGCACATCCACCCGCGCAACCCGCTTAAGACCCGTACTGGGTTGGTACGGATACCTCGCCCGCCCAATTGACGAGGCCCCGAAATTCACCTCTGTCCGGCTGACCTCAAAGTACCACCTAACAAGGACCTTCGTCAACCCCGGTCGCCTTTTGACTGAACCGCAACAAGCTACCACTCATTCTTTTCCACAATAACCCTCCGCCGCCGCTCCGTCTTCCTTCTTCTCTTCCTCACGATTCCCGACATATTACTCGCTTTTCTCTTTGGTCATGTCGTGATCTGGATCACGACTGGATCAATTACCAAGCCTCTCTCCCTTGATACAAAATCAGTAAATACAACCCAGTCAACCGAACGCCAGTGGGGACTATCCCTGATTCACCCCCAAAAAGCCGGACGATTCTCCGCCACCCAAACACGCGATACATCCCTTCACAGAACGGGGACACCAGGAAATCTCGCTACACTTGGTACTATTTGGTAGGTAAATTTGAATCTTGCATCTCACTTGCCCTCCCAACGGAATGCGGAACTCAGCTCCCTTGAAGCTTAGGGCAGGGCGGAAAGACAATTCGCAGAAGACCAGGGCACAGAGAGGCGATCGCTCCAAAAAGCAATTGCGCTAACAAGCCATCCAACAGCTTTGCGTCATCCTCCCGCGACCACGCTGCACTGCGCATCCGCATCGTTCCCTGCCCTCCAAGACATTCAGCCCACCACCATACTTCGATGCTCCTTTACTGGGTGCCTGCCAGCCCCTGAGTGTCTCTTCTCCCACAGCCTTTAACTATGTTGGCCTCCGACTCTTTCTTGCCCTCGGGCTTTACCGATCACGATCCTAATATGCCACCCTCGGCCGTTATCTCACCTCTATCACTCTCACAGATGGCGAGCTCGTCTTGTTACTTCGACACCACGTCGACGTCGAATGTCGCAGGCGGTTCCATCTACTCCCCACAACCAGCTGGCGCAGTGCGTCATCACCAAGGCTTCCTTTCCCCCAACCTACTTCCCAACGGCTACAATGGTGTTAGTCCACGCGAACCGAGAACTATGCCATTTTCTCCAACAAATCTCGACCAACTCGTCGGACAGAACCCCCCAGCTGCTACATCGACGTCCGTGAGGGCATCTGCTAACGGAATTCCTCATCCACGGTCAGTCTCTGCTGATGCAGCCTCGGCTCCTGCATCCGCACAGATCATTCGGAGACTTGCCCAGCAAAATGCGCGGATACGGGAGGCATGGGAGGCCGAGCGCAAGTACATGGAGGCGAATCGTGAGCGTGTCGAAGAGGTTTACAAGGAGGAGCGCGCCCTTATGGAAGAAGAGCGTGTTGGTTGGGATGCAGAAAAGAGCGACTTGCTAGACCAGATTCGCCAGCTACGGGAGCAGGTCGCGGCGATTGAAGGCGACAAAATCCGCCTACAAGGAGCGCTGCAGCGCTACGAGCTAGAGAAGGCCGGCAAAGTAGCCGGCGTCACTGTTGCACTTCCAGGAACAGGAAATCGAGGCGGTGGGGCCGATGGCTCCACCGAACTTTCCTTTCCAGGGTTTTCCTCGCACCTTAATGACGCGCGGTTCGGCCTTTCTAGCGGAACTGGAAAGCGGAGGCCAGCAAATGGCTCTGCCTCAGCCTCAGTTTCGCCATCCCAGATCCGATCTCAGTTTATTAGTCCCGGCAGTTCCAGAATCTCTCCCTCCAAACAACCAGAGTCTTCGCCATTCATTCCCCTCAACCCCAATATGCAGCCTACAACCAACGACGCCGTCGACTTTCTTGGGTCCCCCAAGGACGAGTCGCCCGTTCCTATAGTTGATATTCAGATCATCAACCCTCAATTGGAAGGTGTTCCACTCAGGGCTCCTGCCATCCAGAAGAGCACCTTCACCGATTCTGGCAATACCCCAGATAACTCAAAGAACTCATCGAGGAATCCGTCGCCTCCTGGAGAGTCTGGCAAATCGAGACGTAGCCCGACCAAGGAGCACACTATCCAAGTCCTTGCAGCACCTGAACCTGCCAGGCTTACCATGCATGCCGGTCACACTCCTAGCCATTCTCTTTCTCACATGGGAACTGCACCTGGCACAGAAGTCCCAACTGCTGCTGATGGTACTGGTGGTTCTACACCTACTTTGGCTCCGACGGATATGAGTTCCAACCCGGCAACCCTGTGTGACGTCAGAACCAGGGGTGACTCATCCGATGTCAACGACGACACTTTTGGCGACGGTTTCGAGGAGCCCGAGCCGACTATGGAAGCAACAGACGATGTTGCCTTAAAAGGGCCTTTAATGGTCAGGAATATTCCTGCTCACGATGAGATCTTCTTTCAACGACTATCTGAAAAGCTCGAGGATGTAAGCCGTGGCGAGGATGCCGTGCCGACCTGCCTGAAAGAGTCAACCGATGATCTTCTAGCCGGCCCGTCAGAGCAGAAAGAAAACAGCCTCGCTCCTAAAACCGATGCAGACGCAACCAGCGATATCGGTTCTGCTGCTGACAAAGAAGAGCCCGAGTCTCAGCCAAAAGTGGAGGAGGCTGACATTCCTCTGAAGCTCAAGCAGAGCACAAACTTTGGCGCACCGTTGGGCTCCATGTTTTAAACCAACACCATCATTTTCATCGATTTTTTTTTTTTTTTCAGCTGGAGCCAGTCTCCTCGACACAGCAGACGAAATAACTTGTATAGACATTTCATAATCCTGGAACCCCTTCTGCACATATCGTCCGCCTCTGTACAAAGCTACAGGTATTCAACGTTCATTCAGCAAGGGGTTCTCACAATAGATCAGCCACTACACCCTTTTCCTATGTTTCCAACCACGACGGCGGCTTGCTTTTCGATTATACGGCGATAGATATGGATGGCTGGGCGGAACGCCGGTATCCTGCGGAGCAACATCACTTGATTTTTCTGTTCAGGGATGGATTTGACGGTTTTCACACAAAAAATGCACAATACCCCCCGGAGGAGTTTGAATTCCCTCTCACGAATTGATTTTTTTATTTTTTATTTCCCTCTCTCTCTTCTTCATATGGATATGGTGCCGACAGAGGCGCATTCGCCCGGACATGTCGGGCAGCTATAAAAGACATGTGAGGTATGGAAGGACAGGAATGGCACATGGCCAGGATGGATGGGTGGGAAGGGTGTCATCCCCCACATTGAAGCAGCTTCAGAATGATAACAGATCAAACGAAGGGCTCCTTTCAAAGATGAAAACAAAGACACAAGGGAGCAATGTAGCAATTTGGTCAGACAATAGATATTGCTTACGCAGTCTTCAAGGGCTGCCTCTTGTCACTACCAATTTTGCAGAAGTGCGCTCGTGAGGTTGAATCAAAGTAACTGAAGGTGCATGTTAACCAGCCAACCCATTTCAACTGCTCTCTTTCACAATCCATCATGACAATCTCCCTGCAGGAGAAGAATCTTTACGTGATGACATGTCAGAATTGGGTCGTTAAATTTGAAACCATATTATTGATTGATGCGTATGCATTCTTTCTCTCTCTCTCTCTCGTCATCCCACAGACTTCCGCTTCCTTGCAATCGACAATGCATGCACAAAGCAACAATCGTCCGCGCAACTCGAATCACTCCCCCCCGCGTGCCTTCTGCCGATCTTTCGCATGCGACACAACCCGCCCCCTGGTCCGACAAGCTGTTGCTGTAGGGGTATCTTCTCAGATGCAACCAGAGAGCATCCATCATCAATCAGTAACCCATGCTCTTGCGACAGGTACATGTCGGATTGTTAGTCTGCCACTCGAGGGCCAGCTGACGCGGCGATACCAATCACCCCGCCGCCGCCCGGCATACACAACTCCATTTAACTTGACAAGCGTAAACATGATCGGGCTTCTGAGCTTATATCCGCTCATTCAAATCATCAAGCAGCTCCGTTGTTTCGCCAGGCGAGGCGATCCAGGCTGTCGTACCCACCGAGCGCGCCTTGAAATCGTTGCTGCCGGCGCTCAAGAACTGGTCTCCAATGTGCAGCGTGTTCTCTCCAGCGATAGGCCGGTCGGGGTGCCCCGCCTTGGCGGCAAACCACCTCTGGCAGACGGTGACACCCCACGACTTGTCGCCGATATCGACAAAGACATCGCGACCTCCGTTGAAGGCACAGAACGGGACGCGCTTCTCGGGGGAGTACCCCGCTGCCTGCGCCGGGCTGCCGAGTGCCGAAAGCTCGAGGATCTTTTGCACGACGAGCACAGTCTCCTCAAGGGACTCGCGCGGGATGCGGATGCTGGGATCCGTGGGAATGATGCCTACCGCGCGATCCTTGCGGAGGAGAGTGGCTGGGAGGTTGAGAGTTTTGACGCAGTCCAGCAGAGCGGCCTCCGCAACGTCGAGTAGCGCAGAAATGTCCGAATCGGACCAGGCGGCCATCTCGGGGGTCAACCAGCGGGAGCGGGGGACGGGAGCTAGGAGGTGAGGGGAGTCTGGCGCGTATTCGAAGAGGTAGTTGGCTTCGCCGCCCATGATTACGATCGATTCCTTCTGGGTCGGGGTGAGGTCCTTGGAGGAGGCGATGGCGTCCAGCAGACCGTGGAGGCGGGCGTAATAGCGGTCTGCTGTTGTGTAGCCTGCTGCTGTAACGATGCCGATTTTGATATCTTTGCGGAGGAGGTCTAGATCCACTGTCAGCTGCGACTCACTCGCCCAAGATGGCCCAAAAAAATAAAGATCAAGAGGTCTGTACCGAGGAGTCTGGGGATGAGCGGGCTTGAAGGCTCCAGGCTCTCTCCGTCGTCGTAGAGCGTGACATCACCATCGAATGTGGCAAGCTGCAAAGATCCCGTGGTGACGGCCATGATCTGGGCCGAATTGAGGATAAGGCGGACGTCGTTAAAGGACGGTGACACGTAGCGGCGAGAGGAAATGTAACGTTTGCTGTCCATATGCTTGAAAGCTGCCTCGAGGGGAAGACGAGTGAAGAAGGGGCCCGCGCTGGGGACGAGCATCTTTAGTTTGGAAGGGAGATTATTTGCCTCATCTTGGCGTGCGACTTGATTGCGATTGTAAGCTTTGGGGTTATGGGAACGAGGGTTTTTAAGGGACCTGGATGGACTTACTGTGGTCGTCTATCATGTGCTCCACATCACGCAAAATCTCGGCATAGCGGCGGTGAGCTTCTTCGGCCATGCGAGCTATGCTTGTTGCTTGAGTGTCGAACACACCAGTCGGTTGGGAGTAGAGGACGAACGGGACCGCGAGGAGACCCTTGATCCATTCTATGAAAACATGTGAGCCAATCTGCTTGATGAGAGGAACGCGGATCTCGTGGATGGTAAAGAAAGTTATGGCTCGTCGTATGAGATTTAGAGACCCCGGTTTTGTACTTAATGAGGTCGAGACGTAATTCAATCTTTGAGTATGAGTGGTGGGGAAGCTGGCATCAAGTCTCCCGGCACTTGCTCGGGACAGGCCGACAGGGAGGGCTGCTGACGTCGCCTTACCTATGAATTGGTCCCTTCTATGGGTCTTAAGAGCATCTGATAAACATCAGTTGATTGTTTCACTCAGTATGAAGATGTCGTGAGCTCAACATGTACTTACATTCTACTCTGTATCTCGTCGTCATTGTGGGCTACAACGGTGAGGATGAGCGGGGGAATTGTGAGGGCGTCGTTAGAATCGTCGACGTTGTGCTCTAGGGGCGATCGTTGTTAGGCTGTTGGCGAGTACTATGAGCTCGGGTGTGCTGTGCAGTCAGTTGTGTCGCTTCAACCAGTCAGAAAGGCTGAAGAGCAGTGCAGAAAGAAATGTAGTCAGAGTTGAAATGACAAGCAGATGTGAAGTGATGTTGACTGAAGAGATCCCACCTCCCTGTGTGGGTCTCCTACCACGGGCCTGGCCCCGCGATGCTTCTGTAGCCATCACCGGAATGCACCAATGGCCAGGGGTCGGCTGGCACTGAAACATCCCCGGAGGCCGCCGCTACCCGTGTTTTGGGCTCGGCGCCAACCACTAAAGGCTATACTAAGCCACAACCCCCGCCATCCCTGTATCTTGTGACTGTTGCACCTGACATGGCTGACGTTCGCGTCGACTACCCCTCTTCAGTGTAATTGAATCCATAGAGACAAACTTGCGTACACGCTGATTGTGACTCTTACTTGAGTGGAACCTGAAGTCAATCGTAAGATAGTATGTGGTTGGTTAGTTTATCATTGCCGATGGGAGCACGATGTGCATATGCAATCCAGAGAGAAATGAGTCAAAAAGCCAGAGGAAATCACACTCGCCTATTGCCGCATAGGATACTAGTTAAGGAATGAAAGTACTGTAATTTTTGATAACAAAGCTGTTCAACTAATTCAAACATCGACCTCAATCGGCTCAATCACAGGTCATACTTATTGAGGCTGTCCCCAATATCGAACAGGCAGCGATATGGCCGGCTTGGATGGGAGCGTTTCGTCGGAGTGGAACTGTTATTGGAAGTAAACATTCCCCTTCAAACTACATCATTCCATATTTCAGGAGATGGGTCATTTCAAGTTATCTTCAAAATTACTCGCTCTAGTGGCAGTCTAGACTGGCTGAAACTATTGGATGGACGGCGAATCGAGACTGCCCACCGCTAGTCTTTAAATTGATGTAATGTTTTCTTCACGTTTGCTTGAAAAATTAGCTGCGAAAGCGCAGCAACCCTAACATTAAACCCCAATACAGCAACCGCACGTTTAAACACGCTGCTTGAGGTTCACTGTAACTCGTGCAGTTTGTTCGGATCCGTAAGCAGCTATGGTGTACTTTAGAGTGTCTGCAGATAGAACAAACCTTTACTACTTGGTTGTGACTTTTAGGCGGCTTTTGCCTCTGGCTTATGCCCAACGATGGCATGGCTTGGGTGTCATTAGCACATACAGGCTACATAGTGGTGACACTCACATGAAGAGTTAGGTGTAGTAGGTCCTGTTCTTCAAGCCCTTGCGAATATCGATGAGAAAGACGTTGACCTTATTAAAACTCCAGCCAAGAACGCCGGTGAAGAGCGCATTACATATGGCGTTGTAGACGGTAATGACGTTTTCAGGGGTTCAAGCACCGAGATCCTTGTAGTATCATGCCTTGGGCCATTCGTGATTCGCCATTCGCATTAGCTGCGCTCGACGTCTGCAAAGCTGATCATCAGCATCATGGCCTTAAGAGGGCAGATACACTGCCACACGCAGCCCAATTAGTGAGAGCGTAATTCCCAGGGAAGCATAGTCCTCGGATAGTTGGTAAATCATGACCTCTTGCCGCTTGACGCAACTACTCGGCTTCAAGTTTCTGATTTCCGTCAGGTTGTGAGTTTTTTTTAAGTAGCACCGACGAATGGCGTCCCTAGTTGTAGTAGCACTTGGTGAGGCACTTTCCCCAGTCATTGATACATTGGTTTATCGACTGATTACAGATATTGTTCACCTCATCCATGACTATTACTGTCGGTTTGCAATATGGGAACTCGTGATATTGAATTATGAATGCGTCTAACAACCTTAGACCCCTGGAGTCGACCGAGGAGACAAGATGCAGCAACAACAAGACTGCAGGGGCTTCCCATCCTCTTGTGGTGGCAGACAACCGGACTATGACCCTCTTCTTTTTGACCGGGGATGATGCGCCAAGGGAAGGGAAGGTGCATATGCGCCACGGCGACGTTGGCTCTTTCTAGCGGGATGGTGTGGACCCGAAGAATGCTACGCAACGAATGGGAGAATATCACAGGGGTTAGGGCTAAGCGAAGGAAGAAGCAGTTGCATGTTGTTCATTATCCCGACCGGTCCAGATGTTGTTGCATCTTTATTCGGCTCATGGTACCCGCCTCCACGGATAGGGTAACCAATAAAAAAAGAACCATTAAATACCTGACAAGTGTGGTACCTTCCACCAGTACCAAATGCCGCCTGATGGCAGCCCAGTTCGTCCATGTTCCAGGGCAGTGTGTGTACTGCCTGCAGGAGGTCAAGCACTGCGGATCACTTGCGAAGACTGCACGACAAGCTGTAGGTCCGCATCACAGTGCCATGACTTTGTTTTCAGTCTGAATGATGGGTGAGTTTGGTTCTTGGCCAAGGTCGGTAACCAAAAGCCAAGCCAGACGGCGACAAAAAATGAGCCGAGATGTTGGAGACGCTGTTGGTCCTCAGGTGTAACCTGAAGACGCCCAGGTTCGATTGACCTCTGCTGAATGAGATCTCGAGCCCGAGACGCAATCATACTCCAAGAATAAAAACATGACTGTTTCTTGTATGTAAATGCATGTCATACAACACCTGGTGATCAGACCCGAGGAAGACAGAACAGAACCTACATACAAAGCTTACTTCCCGTACCCCCAAAGTCGAAAGGGACGGCAATATGAAACCTCGGAATGAACCTACTCAAGTTCTGGCAGCAACCTGTCAACTGAAGCCTGGCCATCCAAGAGCGTCCAGCTAATGGGATGATGTAAAGTTTAAGATAACTCAAAGTGATGATTCTCCAATTACATAAAATCTCCCTGCTTTTAGCTAATGGCCAATGTAGCCTTCACTTATGTTCGTCTGCATCTTTGGCCAACAACGTCACAACGACCGACATTTTTTTTTTTAGCTATATAGGTGAAAATGCATCTTCGAGTCATCACATACGACCATACCCACTGGAAAACTCGGGATCCCGTCCGCTCTCCCATAGATAAGCCAGTGAGGGCCGGATTAGTAGTTGGGTCGGTGACGACCAGCGAATACCTGGTGTTGTATGTTTTTGGCCGTCTTTTTGGCTGTTTAACTTTTCTTTCCATCGCCCACTCTAGTTTGTCTGTAACAAGGCAACACGAGTTGATGATGTAGACTACCACTTTCCCTTAATGTTCTGAATCGGCATCACCAGGCGTTACAATCTACAGAGTATAACTTGGGAGGAAGCAGAAGTTGCCAAGTGGACGTTGAACGATGCGTTCGACCTCATCGTACCTTGGTGATGAAGAAAAATAACGATTCGACTTGAGAGCGTAGACATGCTTACCCACTCAGGTAACCGACAGGCCACCCTCGCACCTAGCATACACTTCATCCCACTTAGTCTTGTCAATTCAATACTGGCATTCTTCGTCTTCTACAGATCTGGCACTTTATGATCCATCTTGTGTGTTTGGGTATACAATTATCTTATAATATCCAAGAGTTTCAACAATCTCATTGATCAACTCTTTCGCGATACCCTCATCATCACTGGTGTGGATAGCTAGATCTTGCGACTGATGAAACCCCTCGCTTAATCTAAGCAATGCAGAAGATATACAGAAATGGCTCCTCTTGCAAATTCGCTATAGGTCTGCTCGGAAAGGTGACTTAATATATTTTGTATATTTTGTCAAACAACGCCGGCAAAGCTACCGAGTCAAGAAAGCGTCACCTGTGCAAAGGTCACGATCCCAAAGCCGACTAGATGAGGAAGGCACATCTCCAATTAAGACGATGATGACCTCAAAACAACTCCACGCCACGGGAATGCCGACCAATGATTGTGAACAGATTTTGATTTTTGAAAGGTTGGGGGAATTTAACTACCTAGAAACTCTGACATCATGGTCTTTAACCTCCGCATATGGGCCTTCCGTACGATGCTATGCCTACCGCCAGTAAACAACGGCCATGACGACAATCGAAACCTCCTCTTCGGCGCCCACCAAGACGGCAACAAAATTCTTTTCCTCCCCTAGCTTCCCCGCCCACAACAAAGCGGGAAGCTGTGTTTTGGCACCTACCTGTGCCTCCCCGCAGCATCGTCTTCTCGTATCCAGCTGGCCTTCAGCCATCGTTTGCACGCTCTAATGCTCTTAAAGATCTTTTTTCCTTTTGAAACCTCTTATACTCTTAAGGGGATGGGGGTAATCGTAATTCTTTGCCTCGTCAATCTTCTTCCCGTAGCCGCTCATCCACAACAACTTCTCGGGCAGCTTACGTGCCATGTCCACCGGCGTGTGCAGCGGCAGCGGCTCACTCGGATCATCTCGCGTCTCCCTCTCACGATTTCATACTGGGGGCGGCCAGAGAACACCGCGTTCCCGCTCAAAATAACCCCTGATCGTGGAGGGGCCCGGCTCGGTCATCGATGAAATCTCGGGTAGGGCTTTAGCTGGCACCACCGTTAACGGGGGCAGCACCTTGTTGTTGGGCGAGGGCCAGCTGGGCGGCCTGAGCGTTCTCGGTCGCCTTCTGCATGACGCCCTGCAGGGCGGCCTGGTCCTCAGCAGTCAGATGCGAGGCCAAAGACTGGTAGAACTGGGGTTGTTCCTCTTCCATCTCTGTGCGGGTGTTAGAATCTTTCTATCCGAAGGGGCGTGCAGGCACAACTTACTCATCAAAGTAGCGCTGAACAGCTGGTAGGGATCAACCTTGTCGAGGGGAGACTCAAGGAGGACGCTGTCCTCGCCCAGGTCATCCTCAGACTCGATGTCCTCGACGCCTCGGCTGAACTTCTGGGCCTGTCTTCGTATTAGCAGCGGTAATGGTGGCAGAGCATAGCGAAATACTGACCTCCTCGTTGAGGAACTCGAGGTAAGCGGTGCTCTCATCGCGAGCATCCGCGCCCTCCTCCTCGTCAACCTCATCCTCGACGTTCCAGTTGGCCTCGTCTTCGGCCCACTCATCCTCGTCACCATACTCGTAGTTGCCGGCCTCAAGGTGGTAGTCATCGCGGAGGGCCTCCTCACGGTCTGTAACTTTTTAGTACGCAAATCTCAAAACAGCACTGGATATTTCTTACTCTTCATAGCAGAGGGCAGGGTCTTGAACAGCTCGGTGATTCCCTGGAGCAGGCGTGGCCATCCGACAGAGACGCTCTGGGGAACCTGGTCGGCCTTGAGGCTGAGCAGGGCAGAGATGGCGACAATGCAGAGCTTCTTGTCGTGGACTCTGGTGAAGTTACCCATGCTTCCGAACCACAGGCTGAAGAACCTGTTTGTCCAGCCCTTGGTCTCAAGAATGTGGAGAGTGAGAATGGGGTTGTAGTGGATAGAGTTGATGACCAACTCCATGAGGTGGATCTTGTAGGCCTTGACCTTGACGTCTTGGACCTCGAGAACGTTCATGGCAAACTCAATGAATCGCAAGACGTAGTTATCAATATGACCACGGAGGTTAAGCATCATAGCCTCGGCCAGCTTGCAGGCGCAAATCCGATCAACACCGCCAACCTTGTTGTCGTTGAACATGTCGGATATCATGGAAAAGAGTGCCTCGATGTACTCAGGCTTCTGCACCAGCTGGCTAGCACCGTACTGAACAAAGTTGTCCAGGGCGGGCAGCATATCCTCGAGGTAGAGCTCAGCGCCAGCCTTGAAGGTAGCGTGAATAAGCTCAAACGCCTGCCACATGGTGGGAGAAATGCCCTTGGCGGCAAATGTGCAGCTGTCAATGATCTCAAAGACCTCGTTGTACAGATCGTACAGCTTGTTCTCAAGAGTGACCTGGATAACAGGCATGAGAACAGCCTCAATATGCAGCAGAACGTCAGGAGTGCTCTCCAGGGTGAGAATGAGAGTACCGATCGTCTGCAAGACACCAAGAGCAGTAATGCTCTTCTCATCGAGGTAGTCACCGTACTCGTCATCGCCGTTGTCCTTGTTCTTGTCGAGCACCTCACGGACAATGCGAAGGTAGGTATCTCTCAACTGCTCGCTGAGGGCAACAGCGAAGGGCGTCAACTCGGTAGCGAAAACCTCAACGAAGTCCTCCATGACGTTGGCAAGGGCGTCGATATCGGCCTCGTTGGCGAGCTTGAGGAGCTGCTGCATGATGGTAGGAATGCTCTGCTGCATGCTTGTGCGGATAATGTCATGACGGATAAGGGGCTGCAGAGCAAGGGCGGCGGTGACACGCACGGGCAGAGCAGGGTCAGCCATGCAGTCGAGGATGTGACGGTAAATAGTAAGAAGGTTGTTCTGGTCCTGGAAGTTGAGCTGCTCAAACTTCTCAATGGTGTCGCAAGCTCGGGCACGCAGGTAGCCCTGGGGGCTTGTGAAGTCAGGGAAGACGTAGCGGACGAGGAAGTACTCGACCTGATCGGCGATGGGGCTCTTCTTGCCCAGGATGACGGGAGCCAGTGTACCAATCATTCTCAGAGCACCTTCCTTAGCGATGTGGTTCTTCTTGTCGTCCGGTGCCTGCTCGTATTCATTGACCACCGCGTTGACGAACTTGAGGATCTCGAAGGTCTGCTTTCTCCGGTTCTTCGTCAGGCCAACGAGGAAGTTGGTAGCCGCAACGTCGGGAGCTGAGGCCTCCTCGTAGAAGTTGAGTTTCCTGTGAAGGTACTCATCGGGCTCGTCCTCGAACTTCTCGATATCCTCCTCAGAAAGGCAGAGAACAGGGAACACGAAATGTGTGACCAGGTTCTGGAGGTGAGGCTTCAGGTGGTTCCACATCTCCTTGGGGCGTACCGACTCGTCGAGGAAGACGAGAGTGTAAGACAAGCAGGGTCTGCTCAGCCAGGCCGCCTTCGCAACCCACTTCTCGATCTCCTGCAAGTAGTGCTTGAGAATCTCCGGGGCGATGGTGGCGGAGAACTCTTTAGCGAAGCGAACCGCATCCTCGTCCTTGGTGTTGGTAACAGACTGAGTGTTGCCGTGTCTAACAGCCATTAGTCGGGGGCATCTTACGAAACCAATGAACTCCAGCTAATCTTACCTAATGAACAGGCGGTTAAGGTTGAAGTATGCCCACTTCTTTGCCTTCCACCAGTGGTGCTTTTCACGCTCGTATGAGTCGTCGACCATGGCGCTGGCCGGAATAGTCTTGGAAACGGTCTGAAGGAAAACGGTGCACCAGCCAAAGTTGGTCTGCTGTGCGCGCAGGAAAGCGGAGAGCTCAAGCTAGTAACCTGTCAGCCAACGGCATTCAAAGCAAAAACAAAGTCATTTCTATGTACCCAAGTTGCGTGCTTGTAGGCCTTGAGAGCCAAGTGAAGCATCTCACCGGCCTCATCGCTCTCCTGGGCGACCAGCTCGTTGCAGATAACCAATAGACGGGGGAAGCTGGCCTCGATAATCTTGTCAAAGTGGACTCTGTTGTCCCCATCGGAGGACTTGAACCGGTAGGCCCGGCAGATGGCAAGCAGGCACTGCAGACCAGCGAGGACGGAGGGAGCGTCGTTTGTGTTAAGGAGCTGCATGGTGTAGTCCATGAAGTTGGGCCACTTCTCGGGGAAGTCGAAGTGCAGGATGCGCTGAAGGACGGGAATCAGCTGCTGCCGAACCAGCCCCTGAGAGGCAGCCATGATGGGCAGCAGGCGGTCGCGGAAGCGTGCCTTCTCATCTTCGGCGATTTGTGTCTCGTTCGGGCTGTGCTCTGACTTTTCCCATCCTCGGTTCACGCGGTTCTTGATGTAGATGACGGCTAAGAGAGAAACGCGTTTAGTGTACTTGCGTTTCTGGTAGTGCCAAGGGGATAAAGGAAAGGAGAGATCCCGCAAGAGATGAAGGGGTCGGTTTACGTACTTGATAGCCGTACGCTATTGTCTTGCTCATTCTGGAGGACTTCGAGGAGAACGTCCATAAACCCGGGGTGCTCTTCGATCTAGATGCGGTGGAGGAGTATGTCAGCCAGCAAAATTCAACAAAGAGGGCTGCGGCATGCGAATTCTTCCTCCGCCCCTTTCCCTGATGTGCTCGATACCACACACGCCCACCCACACAGACATACACACACACGACCGATGGTTGTTGACGGAGCGGACGGCGAAAGCCCGGACGAGCGGTGCAAAGCGGGCTACAGACGTATGTGCGCTTCCATGTCCCGTGTGCGATGTGCATGTGTATACATGTATATGTATGTGTGTGTGCGTGTGCGATACGGTGCGGATCGGCTCGGTGCGGTAGGGGAGGGGCCATTTTCGTGGGGGAGGGGGGAAAGAGACGAAGGAAAAGACGACGTTGACATTCTCTCCGTCTCCCGGGCAGAAAAATAAAATTGTAGTCGTACCTGCTTCAGCTGAATCTCAGCCCTCCTTCTCTTGTCGGCATCAGGGTCCAAACTGGCCGCGAGGAGGCCTCGAATCGCCGTGGTGTCCATCTTGGGTGAATTGACGGGGTGATGTCGAGGCGAAGGCGGGATAGGAGTTGAGAGGAAGGAAAGCGGTGCGGGTGGTGAAGACAAAATTTTGGGCGGGTCGTCTGTGTTGCCTCGAAATGGCGGGGCATGCCACGGCGGCGGTTGATAGGTACAGGACAGGAGGTACCTTTTGCTTGCTGTCGCTGCTTAGTTAGTGGTGCCTTTTGGGAGCGTTGGCCGTATCTTGGGCAGGATAACGTAAGGCGGTAGGGGTGTTCCAATGTCAGCGGGCGAGGAGGGGAGGGGAGGTAGCAAGTACCCTTTCTGGTTGTTGCTGCAAGGCGAAGCACTTTTTTTTTGGAGGGCCTAGGAAGAGATTGGCAGAAAGGACAGGACGAGTCAGGCGGTGTCAGAGGCAAGATTACAATGTAGTCGTTGTCTGATAGAAAAGAAGATCTGGAGAAATGTCAGACAGGTTGGTCTAAGTCGTCTGTTTATTCGTCTCCCAAAAGAATAAGAAAAGAAAGTTAACCCTGATTTCCCAGGTGGCAGCGTACACGACGGGACTGGAATGTCTCGATTTTTTTGGTTGTGACGGATTCAGGATCGGACCTCAGGCCGTAGGGTGCGCTGTGCGGGCCTCTCGTCGATGCTGCTGTACTTGGCATCGTGGATACATGAATAGTATTTGGCTGGTCGTCTTAAACCCAAAAGAAGTATCGTGGGGATGATTGACAACTCTACAGACGATTTGATACTTGAGTCCTTCCTTTTTTTTTTTTTTTTTTTTTTTCTTTCCTCGAGCTTTTCGTCTTTAAGGTACCGGCTTACTCTGATGCTCCGGCAAAACATAATCAAACACAATGGCTGTCTGCTGGTGACACCGAGCCACGGTCGTGTCAAGTTACCAACGTGCTATGCTTGTTTTGATTACCCATTTCCCCAGAAAGATGACAGCGCGTCTCAAGGAAATAAGGAGCGGCGAACGTGTGCGTGTGTGTGTGGGAATACCGTCGTCTCAAGTCCAAGCAAGCAGGGTACCTACGGTTTAGGCGTGTATACCATCTCTGTACCTAGTTAGGCTATCCATGGAAATGAGTAGTGGATGCTACACTGCCTTGTCCTGTCTGGGTCTGCATTGGTTGATATACCTTGACTTGAGCATCTGTGTCTTAACAGGCCTTGTTTTATTTTATTTTTTTATTCTGTCCAAGGGAAAGAAAAAGAGTTGCCTGGAATTCCTGCCTTTCCACTCGACAACGGCGACAACAACGCAGCTTCAAGGGCAGATCGAGCCAGCCCACACCTCCCAATGTCCGTGTGTCGTGTAGCTTCCCTACTCTCCAACACCTAACCCAGCATAGGAATGGGCTTCGTCTCTCCCCTCTGTCACACGCACACACATAAACATTACACTTGTCACCACGAGCTACGACACCCAATCCAAAAGTCAAGGTCATCCAAACGCTGGCATGCACTGGATGGAGCCGTATTATCGGCAGAAAAAACCACAAAAGTGCGCCGCCCACCGCCTCCACTACCCACCCGAAAGCGGTATGGCATCAGGGCAGCCTGAAGCATCAATCCGGCCTTTTCATTGGTTGAGATGATATCCCCTGTGGATATCGGGCAGCCGTGCCTGTTCCCCACAAGGGCCCTTCTTCCACACTCTGCTCATGTTTTTTTTTCCATATCCCCTTCACCGCCCACGCAATTGTTAGTTCGAGCCAAGCCCGCCCACTAAAAAGGGAAAGGCGCCGTACCTTTCCCATCCATTGTAGCTCAAACCCCCGAAAGAAAAGCTCCCAGGGTCCCCGTCCCCTTCTACTTCCCACCTTACCCGACCCAGCAAAATGGCTGCTGAATCTTGTCTCCTGCCCAGCCGGGCTGCCACTACCGCTGCTATGTCTCCCCCTCCCCTTCTGCTTGCTCCCTTCAGGAACCCCTCCCCTCCATCCATCCCATACACTGGATTGCGAGTACACAGTTCAGCTCAACCCAGCGCTCATGCCTGCAGTGCACCTGCAACAGGGCTGCCCCCCGCTGCAAACCTCCTGAAAACTTTCTCCAACGGGCCAAATTTTCCATGCTGTGCCGTGTATGCCTTGGATCAGATCTACAACGAAAAAAAGGGGCTGTTGACCCTGAGTCTGCTTTCCTTCCGCATGAACCGAACGTGTATTTGTTTACTTGCTCAGCCTGAGCCTGCCTCCTTGCTTTGCCCCTCCCTCTGATCGTTCCCGGCAAAAAATGCCCCGTCCATCGGTGCGGGTCTTGTCTACCGACCGGAGAGGAATCGCCGGTGTGCCTCACAAGCCCATCCGGGATTCAGACAGCAGACATTTCTCTCTTCCCCCTTCGTTCCTATCATTCTTAATAATTTTACCGTATGAATTTCTTCTTTGATTCTCTTTTGTAATATGTACCCTTCATCACTATATTGTCGAGGTCAAATTCAAAAACGCCTAGACATCATAGCTGGAGGCCACGATTTTACTCTGTTCAACTGCACTCCGGGGAACCCGGTCCGAGCCTCGAGCAGATTAGCTGAGAGCCTCATCTTACTCGTGTTGTAATCCACAAAAGCCTGAGCCTCACTCATGCCCAAAGAAAGTAGCAAAGACACCATGATATGAAGAGGACCACTCTGGGCCATGCCCCCCCCCCCCCCCAAATGTCGACTGTCACCATATCATCCTCGCCCCCTTCTAGCCGTCTTCAGTGTGGGAAGCTGAGTTCTTAAAGTAAAACCTTACAACGCGTAGTTCTCGTGAGCAAAACCAAGAGTGCTGAAGAACACTGCCGGGACTACGGGGAGAAAATAAGCAAAAGGACAACGAGATACGCAGCCCAGTGCGCAAACTTGAAACGCATCAATTTTGAGCTGAAGAGATCGGTTCGTCTCCATTTTTTCACATGTCGACCTGCACAGTTGGCACACCACCACGACCTGATGGATCGTGATCATGTCTGTCACAAACTCTATATCTATCGCTGAAGGAACAGCTCGTGAACTAGACCCTGCGCGGTCCCAGGGCTGCTATGTCCAAGGGAACTCCCAAAACCCTTGTCAGGGGTGTCAACTTTGCCCAACTCTGACTGCCCTCCATCTACCAACTTTTCCCCACGCGAAGCGGCCCAGCACGGCGGTGCCTGGTGATTGACCTTTCAGGCACATGTACGCGCACGCACACGACCACCCTAATTATCAGTCTGTCGTGGTGTGTGACATCACATAGGGACGCAAGTAGCCAGGTTGATGCTGGGAGCTGTAGGCGCGATGCGACCGGCTTGGTATCAAGGCCCATATGGTTTAAAAATACCACAGCAGAGTTGATCCGTGTTCACAGTCAGGTTTAGAACTAATGAGACAAATCTCGACGAGTGGTACGTCACAGGAAACTTCCCAGTGCCATTTATTCAAGAGCCAAAAACCGCTTTCCATGTGCCGATAGCGCCAAAAATATCAAAATGATAAGTCGTTAAAATGATTCCACAGGATACGACACCGTATAAACCCCCTTGATTCTTCAAAGGAGAAAGACACCCTCTGCACGTTCATAAAATACCAACGCTCTCGATAGTATGCGTACAACCCCAAAGCCAGTTCCTCCCAATCAATCCAATCCAAAGTCCTCCAGCGTAGCCTTGCCAGCCTGACTTCACCGTATAATGGCCTGCGGAAATGAGTTAGTACTCCCGCGCTCGGTTTCCTGGATTGTAGAAGGCTGGTCCGTAATGGGAAATAAAAGTAAAACAAGGAATAGTGGTAACTAACGAGTTGTCCCGTGGGTATTATCGGGAGCATTCCATGTGGGTGTCCTCGGGAAGGATGATCCGGCGGCTCGCAAAAATGTGCTCCTTGGAGGCTATCCAGGGGTTGATACAATTTGGTTGATCTCCTAGGGGCGCCACAAAGGCAGTTTCAACCATCCATTATGGAAATCTCCAGTGGGAAGAATGAATCATCAGAACCGCCAGACAGGTTGTCCCATGGCAGGCTGCAGGTATGGGAGCTACGAGTGAATCGGAAGAAACCAGAGGTCGCATGCCGAGCCCAGCCGGAGTTGAAGCAGCAACAGAATCTCAATCCATGGAAATGAACTGGTGTGGCCCATAGCAGTGTGGAGAGTGCTTCCCGGGAATCTTGAAAGCTTACCCAAACAGGAGAGTTGGCTCTCCAAATCCAAGTTCTTATTTGGACTCATCGAGCCAACTTGGATCCAGTTGGGGTAGATGAGAACGTCCTGCCTGAGTATCAGAGCAAAGATATTTCCACGGCTGTCCGGGGGTGGTGGTACTGCCACGACTGAGTCCAGAGGCAGGTCTTTTCAGAGCCCTTTGTAAGAGCGAAATCCACGGTTGGTTTGTCCAGGCAGCTTGGTCTATAGCTTTTTGTCCAGGTGGTTTGAATGAGTCCGGGAAGTCCAGGCAAATATCCAGGCAGATGTCCGTAGTGATGAGATCCAGGAAAAGCAAGTCCAGCCGGGAGACTGTCGTGTTAGGTAAATGAGAAACCTCAGAAGACATAAACGAGATCCACGAGAATCCTCGGGAGATAGGGTTGCAGTCGTGTGAGCCGCTTCGAGGGGTTCACTAATATATACAATCCGGGGACTCACCTTACTGTCCAGATGCCGACCTCGCCGTTCTATTAGAAAGATCATGTTCACCCAGAACTCCGGAAGTCCAAGCAGGAAGAATGAAACCCAGACCAGGAGAAAGAGTAAAGTGACATCACGTTCCCACCTTCAGGAAGGATCCGGACAGCAAGATGATCCTCAATGAGCCGCCAACAGCCGACATAAATCATCTGAAAAGCGCCTTCTTTTTTCCGATCCAGGTCCTGGGGCCATAAACATGTGCAAGCAAGCCAGCCCCGCTTGTCACAGGGGCATTCAAATCGAATAGCAAAAAAATCGTAGGCCCATCCATATATGCAGTCGTGAAAAGTCCAGAAGTAGTATGCGGCAAAAGCCATTATTGGGGCGAAATCCGGGAAAGATGGTAGGGAAATCCGGTAAAGGTCCGAGTGGATATAGAGCCAAGGGGCTCTGAGCCAGACGCGGGGCCAAAAAACGCCAGCAAAGCCAGACAGCGGAGTGAAAGAGATGCAGACTTGCAACTCAGAAGGTGGTTTCCTCACCCCCTCCAGTCCAGGGAGGTTCTAACCGAGAGAAACAAATGATAAAAGAAGCCGACGCCGGAAATGAGTCCAAATCCCAGGGTCATTAGGAAGAAATTTCATAACGGACAACTCACGAGACGGGTATCTCATGCAGTCGGAATGCCTACAATTAACTCCGGGCATGGTAAGGTATTAGCGACGCGGACCGCGGTGGCGTTCGGACTGGTGATGCCTATCGGAATCCCTTTCACTGCGGCGGTGCGAGGAGGACGATCCACTGTTTCCCATCTGAGCATTGGAATTCGAAGGGGTAGCGGAAGTGCGAGGGGTGGGGGTTGTATCATACTGTGATCCTTGGCCTTGCGGAGGGTAAGAAGGGTGAGTTGAACCACCTGCTGGAGACGCTACATAATCAGAAGATGTCGGAGAGGATGGGGGGTTTAAGAGAGTTTATACGCACCGCGTCCGTACAATGGATCTTGAGACACCGACGCGGATCCGTAGGGCGCTGCGGATGAGGACGGGTAGTAGTTAGAAGGGTAGCCTGCTTGACCTTGAGATCCAGATTGGATGTAAGCCTGTCCCTGCTGGGTTGCCATGGTGGTAGGGATCCGTCCGGCCGTTCCAGAGGAGCCGTAGTAGTCAGGGCTACGCGAAGAAGCAGCCAAGTTCGTGTTGACGGCCGTGTAAGGGGGCTCTTGACCATATCCTCCAGGATGGCTCGGTGTTCCGGAGTACCTGGCGTCTCTAGGGTCCGGCTGGCTGTAAGCAGAGCCTGCGGGATAGGAATACCCGGCATTTGAGGGATAAGCAGAAGGAGTCTGCTGGGCGTACCCAGAAGCAGCCGCCGCCGCTCCGGGGTAGCTCTGCGAGGAGTTTCCTGAGTATCCTGGAGCTTGGGATCCTGGGTATCTGGGGGTGTTGTCATAGGAATCACGTCCTACGTCCGGGTAGCCAGCGGGGTCCGTAGGGCCATAATGTTGGCGCGCGGAATGAGTCTCCGACTGGCGGTACCCTGCTGTAGGGGAGTTAGATCGTCTCGACAAAGAGGGAGCCGCCGCATCTCTCGAGGCAAATGTACCTCCTTGGGTGTTCCGGGCGGCTTGCTGCCGCCTCTCTGCCTCCCACCGGGCAGAGTCGGCCTTCAAGTCATCAATCATAGCCTGGGGCCGTTGTATCAGCATGGGAGACGTAGAAGACTGGCGATCCAAGGGACTCACTGTTGTCAGGTTTCGGTACGCGGTAATGTAGTAGCCTTGAACGACCTGGCCTGTCTGAGGGTTCTATAGAGAGGGACCAAGTCAGAATTACTATTGCTTACGGGGGCACACGGTCATGACCGTCTGCCGGCCGGGTTGAACTGATAGGACGCATACCTCATAGTGTCCAGGTCGCACCAAAGCATCGTTTCCGAGGTAGCGGCAGATATCGGCGGTGATGACCTCGCGATCAATGCCATCTCTCGGGACGAAGTACTCGTTGGAGCGACCGCTGGTGGGGGGTGCGGCAGAAGAGCTGCCCGAAGGAGGGGCACCACGCGATGTTCTTGCCGACATAGTTGAGGAGAGTCGAAAAGGGTTGAACGGGGACGTGGACGAGGGCGACAGGTAAACAGAAGGGAACGAGAAGAGGGAATAAAAGGAGGAGGGGGGAACAGCAAGAAATGGGAATTTGTCGGCGAGATGGCGGAAAGAAAAAGAGAAAGACGAAAGCGCAAAAGCGGGCAGGGAGTGGGTGGTGGGAGAAGAAAAGGAACAGGCCAGAGTCTGGCTCTTTCCCTTGAGGGTGGGGATTGCTCGAAAAACCGGGACCCAGCGTCAAGTCACCTACGTGGACCAGTGGCCAGTGATCCGTCAGTGCTAAGTGGTGAGTGGTGAATGGTGAGTGGTCATCGGCACCCCCTCGCTCCTGGCGGACAAGACGGGGAGACGGGAGGCGGGAGAGAACGAGAGGTCCGGTTGGGGATGTACAGTACAGGACGTGTACACGGGACAGGACAGAGGCCCTCTATCTGTGTCGTATGCGTGCGTGTCTGGCCTCTCTCTTACTCTCTCACTCTCCGCTCTCTATGGCCCAACCCAAAAAAAAAAAAAAAAAACAAAAAAAAAAAGGTACAAGGCCGTAGTTGGTGACCATAGTCGCCTCGGGACTGATCAGAGAGACAGGGCTTGTTGGTACCACGTTGCTGGCTGACAGTCCCGTGCGGCTTTTCCCTGGCGCTCCAGCAAAACCCCGGCAACTTGGAAAATCTACCACTCTTCTATCTGTACCTCCCTAGACCTGGGCCAGGAGAGGAGGGGGTGGGTGGTGGTGCGTCCTTGGTGTGGCCTAGTCTGGCCTGGCTGACCGATGAGAGCCTGCCTACGCCTAGCCTGCGTCTTGCTTTGGTGGGAAAAATGACCAACAATGAGCCAGTGAGAGACGACCGGCCAGGACCAAAATTAAGTAGCACGAAAGAAAAGAGGCGGAGGGCGGTTGGGCGGCAGCAGGGAAGCTGGGTGGCGGCCGCTATGAGTGGATGGAGACGGGATGAGGTGCAGCTGGAGGTTGGGCAGCCTGAAAGGGATACCGAGGACCTTGTTTGTACCTCCGTCTGGCATGAGTATCTCTACTTGTACTGGCTCTACCCTGGAGAATGTAACGCGCACACTAATATAATCTCTCCCCAGAGTGAGCAATGTTATGTCCTTACGCTCTTGACCATGTTTGGCGGTTTCCAGCTCGCGCGCCAATGCCAACATAATAGGTACCATACGATGAGGAGTAACGGTAAACGTAAATGCCGAATAGACAAAGTATTCTTCCGACCTTATGAGGTTTGCAAGGAGCAAGGCGACCGGACTGTTACTAGAAGCAAAGCCGCTGAGCGTTATTTTCTATTTTATTTTTCAACAGCAGAGATGCGCCACAAAGTCACAAAGAAGCAACCTGATGTTAAAACTGTCTTTCAACTGCCGCCACCGTAATCCGCTTGGTCAAAAATTGGGTGTCTGCCAAGCTGAAGTGAGATGAGGTAATCGTTCAGGCCTTTTTCAGGTTTCTCCTAAACCCTCGCGTGTGAGCGTTAGGGTGCCTGATCAGCGGCTGGTGGTCCCCGTTGGTTGCCGTTGTGGGCGCTGTACGTAAGACGAGTCAGAGGCAACCGAGGGGGAGGTGGGTGGCCTGCTGTGCCTGGTAGGGCTCAACATTCCATAAGACCCAAAAAAGCCAGTCTACATGTGCAATACGCAGTCGTGTCCGTTTTCTCCCAGAATAAAATACGGAACGGTGATCAACTGCGGTGAAGTCCAACGAAAGGAACTGTTCATGGGATCGCTATTTCGGTTTCATCGCACGGGGCCCCCGTTCTGTAGTGGTATGTTTTGTTTGTCACTGCCTCCGCCCTTTCAATCTGAAGTGGCGAGGCTATTTGATGCCCAATTCAACGTGTGTGGATAAGTGGGGCGCGCGCGGAAGAGCCGAGGGAACCAGTGACTGAGATTCAGAGACAGAGTCAAAGTCAACAAGCTCTATTCGTTCCAATGCGCGTGCCGTGCGGTGTAGTCTAGACGCTTGGAAGTGATTCAAGTGTCGCAGCTCGTGCCTTTGCTAGGACAGGGCATCATCAAGTCTGCTCTGGTCCCTGATATCTGAGGGTTCTACAGAGATCTAGACCGTTGGTGCCGAAAACTCTCAGATGAGAATTTTCCATGCTGCTGAGGCTGAAATACAAAATCATCAGCTTGGGATGAGGAAGCTTGGGGAAGATGTGGCTCGTGAGTAGCCCCGGCTGGACCGGCCTATCTCGTTTTAGGTCCTCGCTGGGATGTTCTTGGAACGGTTAACTGCTAGCGCAGTGGCCCTTGGGCAGATGCGCGATTTGGTCTTGGTAGTCTTCTCCTCAATTCGCTTCCGCATTGCCCCAAGACGGATTGGGGGTTATAACCTACACTCGGAATTCAGAGAGTGGTACCAAACGATATGATATAACATGAGTATTCGTTCCACCTTGGACCGCTGCTGGGAGAGAGCAGATCGCAATCCTGAATATGGAAACGTCTTGCCCAAAACATTGGCCCTGTTGAGCATGGGTTTCTCTTTCCTCGAAAGCGCGAGAGGAAACGCTCAGAGTTTGGTTTCTGGCTGAAAAGCCATGCCGGTTACTCGCACTCCCTTTCCAACTTCATCAACCTGTCCGACCCAGTTCCTGGTGCCTCAAAAGCTAGGCTATCCCAGCCTTTTTGATAGCAATACTCCAAACCGTCCGACAGCGCAACACGCAGTAAGTAGAACCTGACTTGAGTTTCCCACCCAACTGACTAGAACCAAGATCTGTACCAGTCGCGGAGTGGATGATGACGATGGCCTTCCCTGGCTTGTCTTGTTTTGCCACCTGATACTTTGAGACACCAGCTGCTAATGACTGCGATTTGTTAGTTGCGCCTCTAATGAATGCTGAGGCAATCTGTGCGAGCGGCCTCTTCAGTCCAACGATCCTCATCGTTGCGAACCCAACCAGCGTAATCAACGTCGTGTGGTTGGCCTTCGTCGAATCGGCCATTCACTTCTTCTGTCCGGACTGAAAGGCATCCACTCTGTAAGTCGCTTATGATTGATTCTCCCTTTCCATCCTAAACGAACCACGGTCGGCGAAGACGCATGTGCGCATGCAACCAAGTGTGCGTGGATAATTCGTAGAATCAATGACAGACAGCCCGCTGTGGTAATGGAGCTTGGTAACTTGGTAACGGTGGTTGGCGTCGTTGGGTATCAATGCTTTGCGCCAAAATAATTGTGGCCCAACCCACATTAGCCCAAAGATGCCTAACTCTTAGCCAATCATCGACAGGCGCTATCGGGACTGTGACGGTATGACCCCTACGCATTCAAAACGATACGTGAACAGGAGATCTAGCATTCTCGTGGAAGAAGCCTCAGTTTGAGGCATGGTATGCACTTCTCAGCCCTGACGTACGCTCCTACTCATGCTGCGTAGTCATGTCTATCTGTCTCCTCTCATCATTCACGATTTGTCGACCTGGCCCCATCATATCTATGGCGGCTCGCCGGGCATTGTCCCTGACACTCTGCTCCCATTATCCCAAGTAAGGGAATCCGATCATGTCGCGGATGGCTGCAGTCGGAAGTTGGGATGACGACACTGACGGGTAACTTTCCTCCACGTGGATCCATCAATTGTATCGCCTGCGCCTCCGGACGCCTTCGATTACATGTTTGTCCCTGTCTTGTCAGGCTGTCGTGGCCCGCCAAGTTTCCAGGTCATATTAGTAAAATGCGACCCAGCCCAAATCCAGAACCATCTCTATGGTTAATGAATATGTCCTTTGTGTAGGATCAGCTCGTAGATAAGCAAGTTACCTCGTTCATATACCCAGACTTAGGTTTGCAAGGCAACCGGATCTTGATTCTGGTTGAATATCGTCCCTGGTCTGTGGATCCCACCATCCGACGTTCTCGGTGGCGTTCCCATAGTGGGCAGAATGTGAACTCAGCGCCTGACAAGAATCAGTCTTTCAGATTCATCGGGGACTTGATCTTCGATTAGTGGTACTGCGATGACCCTTGAATGTGCGCTCCAGGGCGCGAAGTTGCCAATACTGGTCGGGTATCAGGCGGTAGGACCCGCTCGACAAACTTTTCACCGTAGTATTGGAGCCCATGGTGTTTTGTCGGGGCTCATCCAAACTTCAACCTGCTCTGTCCTTGTTCGAGTTTGCCTCCACGACCCCCTCCTCGCTTGGCTGATGCTCCTGATGTCTTTGCCCCGGAGCGCACGGCGGAGGTGCGGTTGGCAAATACGGTATTGCCACGTTCCTCCTCCTGAAGGTCTTTGGCAAAATGCCAGTCCTCGTGGCTTTGGTGTTCTTCTGGCGTTTCAAAGCCTGTGTTGCAACGCGAGCATACGAAGGGTGTGGTTCGCCGCTGGTGATTACTATTTTGGCCTTGGTCCCACAGGCCCTCAATCGTAAGAGTAGCCGCTGTGGGATCCCCAGTCGTGACCTCATCCTGCAATTTGGCATCATTGTCGGCGGTTGCATTGAAGGGCGACACTTCGTTGTCAATGGAAACATCCCGCGTGAAGAAGCGATGGATTGACCCCCCCTCCATCCGGCGGCGTTTGGCCGGCTTGTCCTCTACTGGCAACGGATGGCTTGCTTCGCGACCACCTTGCTTTAAAGCCTGGGCTTCATCGCCTTTGAGCAGAAAGGCGCCGATGCCCCTGTTGCCCGTGACACCGTCTTCGAATCCTCCAACGCTCAAACTTAAGTTGGCGCAGGGCCAAACACTGCCTTCTGCTATTATTTGATTCAGAAGGTTCTTTGCCAGATCGAAGAGTGTCTGCTCGTCAAGAGCTCTGCCCTGTGGGATTGGGGCCTGGCGTGATTTTGTTTGGCCAGCGTGACGGTGATGCAAGTTTATCGTTCTCGGTCGCCGTTTGTTTTCCAAAACTCCCTCTTCAACCAAACGGGCGAAAATGTCTGCCACAAAGATTCTAAGCCATCTGCAAGCCTGTTCCGGGGTGTCGATGTAGGGCCGGAAAGATTTCGCCGAAAGCATCGACTTGATTTGTGTCCGAGAATTAACTTCGCTTGTGTCGATGCCCCGAATGGTATTGTAAACCCAGGTTCCCGTATCATGTCCCAATTTTGTTTTCATCTCGTCTAACGGAATGGTAAGGAGTTCACTGACAGCGTCAGTGTTGAAAGTTGTCACCACGTTCTCGCCAAGCTTTCCTCCGAGGTTGCGAATCTTGGTAAACTTGAAGTCGGATAGGAACTGATCCACAGCTCGGTTCCGGATCACAGTCTGCTGGTTGGGCTTCTTGTGGCCAGAACCCAACTTGCTGAGGAGCTTGTTCTTGGCAATGCCTCCAGAGCATGTGTATTGGAGCTTCTCTAGAATCTGGCTTCGCACGCCCCGTACGATCTCAGACCCAATGAGGATCGCCACATCGTCCCAATCCGGGTCGACAGACTCTTCCTCCTCGTTCAAGTCGATGAGGGCGTCTGCTTTCCAATCCAACGCAACCACGGAAGGCCTCGGCAAACTCTCTGTCGGATCATCGTAAGGGGGCGGGTTACCAAGTTCTGGGAATCTCTCCAGCAAAACGGAGTGCACCTGAGCAGACAGGTCCAGAAAAACCTCATCGATACTCGCTTTCTCGACCTTTTGAAGTTCTTGAGGTAAACTCTCTTTAATGACAGCCAGAATCTTTCTAGACTCCAACCGATATGAATCGAGAGATACCTTGTCACTCTGGATATGAGCGGCGGCATCATCACGGTAAGCCCATCTATCTTCGCCCTCTCGCCATGTCGCCACATGCTGGGCAATCAGAGTGGGACACTTCTTCTTGGCTTCAGCCAGTGTACAATGGCGACCGATACCATGTTCACGTGCCGGGTAGTTAACGGCGATAAGCCCTTGCCTGGAAATTCGTTAGGCACAAAGAAATTTACCAGCATGAAGTTTTTACGGACCATTGCTGGACGGCTAGAGGCTGGTCCTTTGGCACACCTAAACGAACCATTTCACATTGCGCGTAGAAGGCATCCAGATCAATGTGAGCGATGACCCGTAATGGACAAGATGTGTTATAAGCGGCCAGTTGAGATAAATGCCGATAGGTGAAGTTAGATTTGCGCCTGCTCGTGCCAGGAATAGGGGAAGAATCCCGAAATGGCTGCGAGGACGACATGGTTTCGAGAGTCGCAGTAGACGGGAGTTGGCGGGGTTGCCGAAGTTCAGCGGCGGTCTGGTATAACAAGCATTGGTTCAGAATTACGGTGGGTATTGTCGGGCTTGTTGTTGCGCAACATGCAAGGTCTCAGTGAGTGGCTTTGTCAGTGGGAAGTAAATTGGTCGATGATGGCCGTTGCACAGATATTTCTCTGCGCTTGCTGGTTGGCTCGAACGCGCTCCTAGACGCGCCTGCTGGTACTGATCTCCAATAACCCTGACTTGCCGCACGCACGCTTGTTAGTGTCAACTTGCGACCCACTTTTCACCACCGATGATGCGCAGATATACCATGTGTGGGCCGTTGTCCGATCTTTTGGCGCCTGTTGCAACAACAATGAGAGGTTGGAATGAAGTTATTGCTACGGATACAGCCGAGAACAATAAAAAGACGATGTATTTAATGTTACTTACCCAAAAATCTTATCTGTTAATCCCTCGTCTGCTTAGATCATTTACATGTGACCAATTGCCAAACGCTAATTGGCCATGTTATGCCTAGATGTTACATCAGATGTTAGTGTGTGGTGATTTACATCCGTCGCGTTGCCCAGCCTGATTTTATACGGAATTTGAAGGGGTTGTCCGCGTGGGTAGTCTTGCTACTCTAACAGTGGTGCGTAAACCGGAGGCTTGAGATATCGTTTTCCAATGAGAGCCGTCATGTCAGTAATGTAGGATGCTGAGTGTAGAGCGTGTAAGTCGGGGTCCATCCTGCGGGCTCTCTTCACAACCACACGCCCATCACTCACACGGTATAATAACTACGGTAATTGCCCCCTGGCTGGCTGTTTGAATGTTTCAGTAGGACCTACAGTAAATCTTAGCATCAGACACGTAGATGCTGTTCACAAAAAGTGTGCAACCAACAATCAGTGCTTGGGAATATGGGCGTCAGGACCTTTGATGCCGTGAGACTTGCCTCAGTCACATAAATGAAGGCACGGATCCTTCAAAATACAGGCAGAAGTCTTTGGGATGATACCACATACGGACACGACCCCAAATACCATGCCAAGAAGCCATCAGTCTTCTGTCAGCACCCCAATCCTACTTTGGCCGGATTCACTCACAAACAGAAACTGTGATTCCCTCAGACGCCCTACTCATGTGCAACCACTTCCTGGTATGATTCCGATCACCTCTGAAAGGCAGAAAGTGGACACACGCAATCAAACCGGCGCCAAAACACGCCCAACTGTGCCCGTTGGCCTTCTCTGACACGATTGGCAAAGCTACAAGCCGCAAGTTACAGGCCCGCATCCCCGAACAAGAGCCTTTTACAATTAATTAGCGTACCACATGGCCAGTACACTGCCACGACTTTTCATTGAGTAATATTTCGCGAACAAGGCCTACGGCCAGGTAATTATTTTATTTTTATTTTTGCCCATTTGCTCGCTGACATGAATACTCGAAGTCCAACCAATGCCAGATGCGCTGTGCAATGTTGTAGGGCTGCATGCTGCAAAGGCTGGCATTCAACCACGACGGCGGGGCTAGTAACGCATCTTCATATGGGTGATACAGATCAGTTTCTTCTCAATGCAACGACCTACTAAGAAAGCTAAACCAGGATATGTCTCTTTGTGGCCGCATGAAATGTGTTCCACCTGTCAAGATTCAAACTGCATGACCTGCAAGTATTCACTAAGCAAAGCGTGCTCTTAAAGTGCAAAAATGTCGGCAGTATGATGCAATTATTCGTTACACCTACAGGCGAGCCTCGTTGACACAACAAGGCAACTGACCAGCCTGAAACCCCGGCTTTGCGGCGAACCGGTCATCTGGAATGTTGCCTCGATACTCGCCAAGAGACCGGTTCAGAAAGTATCTGTTTACTGACAAAGTTCCCCTGTGAGCCAATATTGGACGCTTTCTTCCATGGAAGCATCACATGTCTGGGGTGAAATCACCTTCATCAATGATTCATCATATCGGCTCATTTTCTACGTCTCAACTCCTTATTGCCTATGCTCTCCGATTGGTTGTGCCTTGGTTTCGATCATCGCGGTGGATAAGCAAGCGCGCGTGATCCTAGATATGGAGTCATTGTTGCTTGCTAGGTGGGAGGGAGTCGTCACAGGCTGTCGGAGGTAGACCGAGAAGACGTCCGGTATTTGACCAAACAAAACCATCCAACGCTCTTCTGGAATGCCACAGGCTGTGGGTCTCTGGCTGCCTTCTGTTGTTGCCTCACCCGAACTACAAGCCACTGAAGCGGCACTTCTGTCATTTACCTCGGGCCTCCTCCAAACTTGGACTACTCCGAGTCGGTCTACGGGCCGGCAGGGATGGGTGTTCCGCATTTCAAACACCGCGAGTGAATTCCTTCAACGTGATTAGCTCTTTGCTCAACCAGGATTCGGGCATCCCGCGGTGGCTTCGATATGCGTCAGGTGGAGGACACATCTAGTCAGCCGTGTCAGATCCCTCATTTCCTTTGGATTCGTCTTTACACCAGTAAGAGCTCGTCAACGGCCGGCTTCCAGTATGCCTGAATCAAAATATCCACGGCAGGCTTTGAGGAGTTTGACGGTCCTACCTATAGGCTCTGAGACAGCCACAAGATCCAGTACACCCATTGAATCTTGGACGGGTGTTGAGCTTCCGGATTGGGTCTGTTATTCCATAAAGATTCGTTCGGAGCAAGTCCATGGATTCATGATGGCAGTGGCTCATGTAAAGTTTGCGACTCTCAAAACTTGAGGTATATAACGAGTGTATAAAGTGGGTGTTTCAGACAAGAATAGCTGGATCTATCAGCTCTGCTATCAGGCTCTATGGGGCTTGTAGAATGAAATCATATTTCATACTTTTGCTTATTTAAAACACCCTCATCGTGAAATATATCCGGCTTTCTCAGAAACTTGGGTCACTGCAGTCTCTTGTCAAAACTCCCACAGCCGAGAGCTTGACTTGCATGTCACGCCCAAGCGAACGTCATGTCAGACAAATGGGGGATCTATTACCACCTTAAGAGGATTCTAACGGTGATACAGGTCTCACAACGGCAACAACACTGATACAGAAGCCGAGGAACTGCCTCCGCATCGCAACAAGTCTATGCCAGACGGGTCTTGGAAATGTTGTGACTGCAGCCAGACCAACAACAGTGAGCTTTGTGGGACGGATGAGAAGGGCAACATGAAGTGTACAAACGGCTGTGGCCACGCGAGATGCGAGAACTGTTCAGATCCCTAACTCGGAGTGTTGAAGTTCTACAATCACAGATGCTTTAATTTGGGGATTTACCTTCTCCTATTCCTACACCAAGAATATAGGCTTCCTCAACTACGCAAGACACAGCAGACCTTACTAGCGAGACTTCCTGGCGAGGTAGATCAAGTGTTTGAATTATAGACAATATAGCACATTACCAAAGGAGCCAAAAAACATTTACGAGCTTCATCAAGATTGCTTATAACTCTATACCATCCAGTGAAAGATAACCGCATCAGCAGTTCGGACAAAGACAAGATTCGCATGTAGAGAAGTCGCCACAAACTCACCATCTTAAAGTAATCCATTAAAATGCTCTCAATATGCAATGCAATTGTTCTGCTGGTGACGGCAGACGATTTGGTCTCGGTTGACTGCGTACTTGTGGTTAGTGATTGGCTCAAAAGGCCGTCGAGTGGCCCAACAGCGGTTTCACAGGCATCCACCAACTACGGCATCGCAACAACGTTCAAGGGGAATGTACAGACTCATATTTTGTACTGAATTAAGTATTATACAAATCATTTAACCGTAAAGGCGACCTTGGCTAAGAAGACCAGAAAAAACAGACGCTGAACCCTCTTGACACTGCCAATAGCGGCCCACTAACACCAAATTATGCCGTACTGGGTATCTTCGATATCTATCAATGACTACTTACCCTCAATTCCTGCATCTCGACCTCATTTGACGGTTGATTAGGATCCCTTAGCCCATGTCTCGCCCTCAGAGCCTGCAATACTGGACCCATCTCGTAATCGCTGTGCATGCTATCGTGAATAGCGCAAGGCGATCCGCGTATGGGTAGGAGCCAATCAATCAAACTGTTCCCCATGACTGAGGTCCAGTTTCTCCTCCACCCAAGGTCCCAGGGGTTCTCGTCCGGCTCGGTTGAAACAACAGCAAACACTCTCGTTGCGAGGCGGTCTCGGGGAGAGGTGCTATCGACAGTGCCGTCCGAAGATGTTGGGACGCCTTGCGGGTACTTTGGCAGGGGATATGTGACTATCCCATATCCACTTCCTGAAACCGTGTTGTTGGGGACTCGGAGCGCTAGCTGATGCGTCCACGACTTACGAAGGGCATCGATGTTGGTTATGTTGAGGAATATGAAACGCCAGGATGTTGCTGTCATAAGAAACGTGAACAAACCAAAGAAGCCGGCAATGGCAACGCCTGATATGGTCCGGCCGTCAATAGAGCCATCCCGCAATTGTCTCGAGAGGCAGTAAGCTGCCGTCGCAAGTGAAATAGTGCAGTAAAGAGTGCAGTAAAAGGTAAACTGAGCAAAGAATTTGAACGCTACACCGAATTAGCACAACATTTACTTGATCGTAACTTGTAGAGCGTCGTTCACCCACAAGTTTCTGACACCATACCACCGACCCAAGGGCAATAGTGGTCCATCTTTCGCACACATCGCCCGACTTCGCTGGAGTGATGGGCACGATCGGGTTTCCAGTTGCGACATTCGGAGCACCACTTTGGCCGTCCGTCGCTCTCGCATACAAATACGTCTCTGCTGTAAAATTCTTCCAATCCGGGGCTGTCCGGGTTCTGGTCAGGACCGGTGAAGTACGGCTGGCTCTCTAGGTCTCCCTCCTTCCTTCGCTTCCGCCTTTGGCTCGATTCTCTCGCAGGTAGTTGTGCCTGGGGGCCCAGAGGAACTAGACCAGGATCTTTTTTGATCTTCAGGAAGGTTCGAAGGTAGGTCACGATCGTGAGAATGTAGAAAAAGAGGTAAATGGTTATCGTCGCGATAGCTGTACCAACCTCGCCTCTGTTCCTATAAAGGTAGTCGACTACACGTGCAATCAGCGTAAGGATACTTTCAGGGATTGGGGAGTTGCTGACCTCCCAGGTAGGCGACAATCACGTAAGTAGCGTAGCCACTGGTGCCGGTTATTATGATGGGGATGATGCGCGTCACCCATCGCGAAGCACATTTCGTGCTGGTGGCTGCCGACATTGCGATCGCCCAATCATTGCCGAAGCATCGAGAGTCGTTGTCGGAATCGGAGACTAGTAAAGTGTACGAGAAGGAAGTCGGTCGGCGCATTCGACGGGCTTAGGGGCCGCGTCAGTTGAAGCGGGCAATGCGCAGAATTTAAAGTGTCGTCACCACAGGTCGGCGCTTGGAAGTTGGAGTCGACCGAGTGACCTGACGGGACGGCGGCCGAAAATGCGTCTAGGCGACAGGGGTCTCGGCAAGAGGGATGGAGACGCCAATTTCCACAGGGCTTACAGGGCGGGTGCGGCAGGAAGCGCTGCAGAAGAATGCATTGTTTTGCCAAAGTGGAACATTTCAGCCCTACAACATACAGTGCACCTGCCCTGACAGATATCAGATTACCTCTAAGTTCCCTCCGCTAATATTCACTATCTCGCTGGACCTTTCTCCCACGTCTCGACACTTGCAATGGACAGGCGCTTTCCTGTTTGCTGGGGGTTCTCGTTTACATGATCACGCAAGCCATCTTGGTGTCCAGTTTCCTTCTCGTTCTAAAAGAATTTTGTGTGCCCCTACTCCATCCCTCATCGGCTAGGTGGATATTTATCCTTTCCAGGCATACAGCCTAGTACTAGGTTTGGGTAAACATCCGCCCCATCTTCGTCCGTAGAAACACTAACTAACAGACAATAAAAATCCGTCATGAGTTTTGCCGAGCCAATAGCGCCATCTCACTGGCTTACCTTGCAACGACCTTCCCTTGGGTAGCTGTGAGCCGCAATGGTTACGTTTGTTGCAGCTGCCACTATTTCGAACACCAGCTGTCATGCCCCAAGAAGAGCATATTGTGGCGCATGTTTCAGCTGTTGCGGAGTCAATACTGCATTTGGGTTCAGCTCGCAGCCATTATGGGTGACTTCGGAGTAATACACCAGCCCCTGATACCGAATGACTGAGATTTACTACGCGAGGGCTGGCGAGAATTTCAGCAGCTACTTGATCACTTATTGAAATAAACACTTTGGGTTCATCCGCAGACACCATCGAGAAATGTCAGAACACAACTTAAGCCGACACTCGTGAAGCATCCACAGACGCTTGGCTGCAGGCAATGTGTGCTTGCCTCAGGTCCAGCCGACTTGTTCTAGTTCACTTCTGCACAAACTACTTGTTGGGGCTTTCCCCAGCTTCTTCAAATGCACGGATTTACAGGCCAACAGCTAAATATTTTATCGCCTTCTAGCTGTGAATCATCAACCCTGTGCTCGCTCATCGTTCTCAAGTAACCTAGGCCATTATAAGAGTCACATATCTTTCGGGCACGCCTTGTTGGTCATTTTATACAAGGAAGAGAGATCATGGGAGAACATGAAGTACATGAGTAGCTGAACCTACCCCAGCAAGACTTCACGGCTCTACCATAAGGCTTTTGGGGCCGGAAGTCCAGTTAGTTCCAGCCACATGTCAACAACACCAAACCCAAGCTCCACCGACACCAATGTCTTCCAATACATCAGCTGAGTCAACACGCGGGACGACTTTGGGCAGCTGCTGTTCCAAGTCATGCACTTTCTGGTAGTCTGTTGACTGATCAGCCCCAATAGGTCCCCCCTCATGGTCGGTTCAGGCAGAAAACATTCAAATTCCTGCAAGGCTTTGACGAAAGTTGCCCCTTAACCAGGTTAACGTACTGGGTATATCCTAACTAGCATTTGTCTAAGGCTTACAAAAAGATGGTGTGTGATGGGTAAGCAGAGCCGCATCACCAACTATATAATTGTTTCCATCTCCCCCATCTTTATCTCACTATTCCACACCCCTCATCCCGACGACCTACTTCTCGAACGAAAGGAAAACGACTGACAAACGGAGAAGGGGAAATTTCCAGCTCGTATTACAATTGCTAATCGATGCGAAGAGGGTTCAACACGAGGAAGGCTTTCGGTTTCGGTCGATGGTCCTATCCGCAAATAGTCGAGCCTCCGCAAGTTAATGTCATTCTTGGATCAGCAAGAGAATCAACAGTTATGTACAATCACAGCTTACATTTCGAAATTCGCCGGTCACCAGCGGGTCACGACTTCCCCTTTCCCCGTCCAATGGAAAGCAGACACAACATAACAACCTAGTTTAGGGCCATTCGCATCACCACTCGGTAGCAATACACTATCCAACCGTCAAGCATTGTAGGAGCAATCAATTTTCGATAGCAAGTCAACGCCAACAACTACCAGAATCGCTCGACCTTGACCGAGCCTGACCGAGAGGAAACATGGTGAAGAGGTCGGTGAAAATCGTCACGTGATGGCTGCATGAAGGAAGGGATTTCGGCGATGCAGGATTACGCCATTACTACATTGGGGCATGCAGCATTACTAACAGTCCATCCCACGTTGAGCAACGGAGCCTGATTCATTTTTCTTATCTGGGGTTGCTGCTGCCTATGGGTTACGTACAAAGCACCCCTAGTGTACAGGAGGCGCATTGTACTCTTCAATCTAAGGGACCAGCCTCTCTGCTCCAATCTGAATCCTCTTCTCCAGTTCACAGAGCTTAGCAATGCATACCCGGAGAGGACGTTGAGACAAGCAGCCTAGCTCGGAATGGTTAAACATATGATTTCAAAAGCAGTATGACTCGAACCTTGACACTTCGTCAAATAACAACAGACCCAACTGGGCTCGCGGAGAACTTCCGGGTTAAGCTGCCACGCAGCACTACTGACAGTAGGTACTGCCCCCCACGCTGCCTTGAATTACCGGCGAAGTGGATCCCGGCTGCCTGCTGGCTCGGTGTGAGCAAAGTACGAGACGGGACTCAGGCGGTACTACTCCGCGGTAAAATACGTTCAAAAAGCGTTTTCAACCAAAAGTACTGAGCAGAGTTTACCCTATCCCGACCAAACCCGCAGAGCCTCATAACATCACTCGCCCAGACCCCTTCTGGGCAGTCACTCTCTTCGCCACCTCACAGAGCCTCATAGCTCAGGCCCCACGCCTCACCCTGACCTCACTTGCTAGGCGCTTTCCTTTTCTCTGGGCCCTGGAATGGTGTCTCCTCTCATTCGACCGCCCTCCTCCGTACTATCGGCGAGAGCAGAGTCATCTGCCCCTCATTCCGTTTTGGATTATCTATACTACTACCTCAACGCTAATTTGTTTGCAGGGTTGAGGTACTCAGATCTGCCTAAGGCGGACCGTCACATCGCGCACGACAACCCTGGGCCTCAAGGCGCAAACGCGCAGGGCCCAGCTATGGAATATCCTTTGCCAATGGACGCGTAGAAACGTCTCGCATGAGGGGCGCAGTCTTGAGGACCAAATAGGGCGTGTGATGTTTTGTTTCGTCTGTTTTGAGGTTTTGTTGTCCCAGCCCAGGGTAGGCGAGGGTGCCTTTCCGCAGCAGCTACGAAGACATCGACTTACACCAGGACCCACTGCAAAAAAGGACTTATTCACATTTTCGGGAAGCCCGTCTGAGGCATGTTATGCAACGGTGTCTAGTGGTCATTGAACGTGGCTTTGAATCCCAAAATGATGGAATTACATTGCCTTACCCTGGCGGTCGTCATTGGTCTCACCCGGGCAGTTGTGTGAATGGGCCGCGAGAAGTCTCGATGCCGTGATATTTTATATAAACCATTGATGAGTTGGATGTAGACATGAGAGCTCGCCAACCACCACCGCCTTCACTCCTACTTCTAAGAGCTTTCTCCAACTACTCCACTGATTGTATCTCTACGTTTTCTACTTCAGAGTCTCCATAGCAATCAAGAAGTCATAAACACTTTACTCTCTGATACCTTCCAAGATGGCCTCTACATACGTCTGGACTTGCGTAGGTACTCCAGGTTCGCCAGTTTCGGAACAGTCGCTAATGAAAGATAGTGCCGATGCGGAGATGCTGGTATGAACTATTATTCAACACCGGGCTGCCCAAGTTGTGGCGCTTACAGATGCGAATACTGCTCCGTGCAGGAGGTTGCAGCGAAGAAGCCCAAGCGGAAGTAAGCTAGCAGCTGCGTTCTCGTCTTCCGGGCATTGCGCTGTTGTGCAACGACCGAATTTCTGACGGCAATCTTTCGAAAACGGATTTCCTCTCGTAAACACTGGAAAAGTGCCTGCCAATCGAAGCAATAACTCCATTGCGGAAATAAACGGGACGCAATTGGGGTATCAATTGAGTCAATGGGAAACGGAAAAGATCAACTATCGCCATTCTAGATCGGAGTGCGCACGTCTGATGGGGGAATGTGCTTGTTTAGGTTTAGGATTTTCGTTGTTTTGGCTGTTTTCTCTGACGAGACCTAGCTTTGGTCTCTTTCACATCTTGTTTTTTCCTTTGATCGTTCTTTTGGCTGCGAGGGGTTAACTGCGGCCAAAAGTTTCTTGTGGTGGGCAGGCAAGAGCCAGTCTTCTGCCTACCGTTGTCTAGTTCTCACACGTTCTTTCCTATGTCATTAGAGCCCTGAGGGTACGGGCTATTTTAGATAGACTTTTCATAAGGATTTTCTAGAATAGATTTTTATCAAATACTTTAGACCTATATTCTTTGGCCATCTCTTGGGCTTGCGTCTGTCAAACATCGTGATAAAGTCATCAATTGTAATAAACCAGCCTAGTGCTACACTGAATCTCAGAATTAGAAGTAGCTACGAGAGAGAAGAATCGTTGAAAAGATACCCCAAATCTGTTTCCTTGATTGATCCTTGTTTCGCAGTTACATAAACCATCTGCGCAGGTGGGCGTCCTTGTGACGTACATCCAGCTACGGACCACCTTGCGAATGAACCCTGTCGCTCATTCATAACACATGGCGTTCACAATACGCGTAACGAATAATTTGACAAACTCCCAATATTATTAGAAATGTGATGTTGGAGGTAACGACCGACTGCCCGTCGACAACGTTGCGTCAACCCCATCGTGTGAGGTCACTTCAAGCTCTGGCAGGGGTTGCCGTTGACTCACATGACTTCAAAGCACACAAGATGCAGCCCAAAAAGAAAGGAAGAAAAAATAAAATTACACAAGAAAGGACCACGCCTCGTTCCTGACGCCTTAATCCATCGTAATTGGTTATTGCGGTTCCCAAGTGACGCAAGGTCCTTTATGAGGGATGAATTAGGTGCGGGTGGAGGGGTGGGACAAATACCGGCGCCTCGGGAGTGAGATGCATGGAACCGCGTTTCGCGGTTGCTTTGCAGACCGCAGCCACGCACCCGGATAAACGTGCAAAGAAAGGACCTCGGAAATTATGGAGATGAGGAACAAAAAAAAAAAAAATAAACAACCCCAAATTTCAAGAAAAGTACCGACGCCGAGCATTGGATGACGGGGCGAACGATGACGGACATTGGCTTGGGTTCCAGTGTCCTCTGGCCGAGGCGGGAATAGCACCGCCCTTCCGGTTCCTTGCTCGCCCTATGACAGAAACTGCGAAAACATCATCAGCACAACACACACGCACCAGACAAGGGAAGAAAAAAAGAACCTCACATTCTTAAGAGAACACCTAGATAATAACAAAATTAAAACTTAAAAGTATTGTTTATTTTATTTTTTCATACCAAGATTGGAAATGGAAATCATGTTGTGGAAATTCCGCAGCGCGCCTTTGCGCAAGAAAAAACCCACAGTTGGGCTTTGTAAGTAGCGTAATTCCGGACACCGAGGGACCACCACCATGGCAGTGCTGAGGTCCTTTCCAAGCCTCAAATCACAAAACAGTAGAAGCCACTGGTTCACCGAAAGGCAATGCGTGCGAAGGAGCAGCAAGGAAAGATTGAGATCTTGGTCTTCTTCTACCCGTTTGCACAACATGTTAAAAGAAGAGCGCTGGCTCGTCTGAAATTTAAGCATCGAACTGGCACAATCAATAAACAGCATATATCGACTCGACAACACCTCAAACATATCTCATCTCTTCTTTGCTAACAACTTAAACATCATTCAACATGGGCTCTTATGAGAAGTCTTCTTCAAAGCACTCCTCCTCCAAGCACTCTTCCTCCAAGCACTCCTCTTCCCATGGGTACGCCGGCGGCAGCAGTAGTGGCGGCAACGGTGGCAGTAGCAGCAGACGCAACAAGCCGGCCGTGACCACAACCTGGATTTGGTACTGTAGCAACTGCCGAACCGGCCCTTACAACACTTCGACGGACCAAGCTTGCCCTTCCTGCTACCACTGGCGCTGCCACGACTGCGATGTTCAGCAAGTTCAGATGGAAATCTCCCGCTAAATCTTCACTGGGCAATCTCCTCTTTTCGAGCTCGGAACCTAAAGATCAGGAGGAGATGCCTGCCCCGGATAACTCCCTTCCTGTTCTAATCGACGAGGGGGAGCAACAGTTGTATGGCCCCGGCCAGCCCTCTGGCGCGGCAGGCCGGGGCCTGATTAAGATAGCATCGATCAGAGGTGGCATCCAACACTGCCACTGTCCACCTCCATCGCCATTGCTAGTTCTCTACGCTGGCGTAGGGGGCGCTCACACGAAGCAACAGAACTTGCAACGAACGGACACACTGCGGCGGGAACATCAGAACTGCCCAGTCACGAATGAACTGATTCAGGAGTAACGCCTTTGTTTTTGGGATTTGTGATGGCTTTGGAATAGACAGCGTATAGAATAGGACTGGCCGAGGCACAGCACAAAACACGGAACTTCATTCTTTATTTTTTTTTGTAACCCACCTTGCGGCTTTTCCCCTCGGGACAGCTTACAACTTTGGTGACAATTGTGACAGTGAGGACCCTTTTGTGAGCGGCAAATGTGTGCCCAGTTGCAGGAGCAGTGAGAGTCTGGCAGAGTGACGTCGTGAGGTGTAGTATGTGTACTATGGTATGTGTGTGCGGGTGTGTTTGGGGTGGAGACACTGGAGCTTGCAACGGGAAGGTCCCCACTTCGCGCGTGGTGAAGCAAGCATCAAGAGCTAAAGAAACGCGCAGACGCGCAGGAAGGAAAGAAAAAAAAAAGGGACTCCACCCGTTAGACGCCTTACATACACTTCCAACCCCGCCACGCGCTAGAGCTCGTGCGGCGGAGCGGGTAGGAGTGTTTTGTTTCCTCTGCGTTGTCGCTGACCGCTTACCGAGTTGTGTAAGAGAGGTGAGTAGTGAGAAGAGGGAAAAGCTAAGGTTCAATGGATAGTGGGGCAACAGGCGCTGATTGGCCGAGGTTCATGAGGCTCAACGGGGAAATCTCGGGTCCATTCTTGTAAAAGTACCGCAGCAACCCTTGCTAATTGTAACGGACGCTCTGGCGAATCACATAGGTGTGTACCAGTGGAAGCCCCACTGGTGACCCAGCAAACCCGACAGTCTGTTCCTCTCAACTGTCCGCCTCCACTTCCCTCCCCCCCGGTTTGACTGGACGTGAGCTGCGCCAAACGAAAGCTTGGGAGAAAGGACTCTGCCATTGCGTCCAAAACCCTTACCCGCTGCTGCATAGTACGTTGTCATGCTTTCTCTGACAGCAGACCCTGGCCCCACAATTGCGCCCGACGGCAGTTAGAGTTCTGGGGTCCCTGCCCCCCCTCTCACAAGGGATAAGTTGAAATGTCGTTTTTGGTGACTCTGATTCGCCCAGCAGTAGGTCGTTCACGGGCCTCCCCAATCAAGGAACGCTCCCCTCCTCCAAAATGAGAAAAAGGAAAGATTAAAAAACAACATGCACGGACCAGGTGGGGTGGTGGACAAGTGCTGAACCAACCAAAAGACCCGTTTGTTGAATCGCGGGGACTGATTAGCACTAGTGGTAAGCTTTCCGAACACTTCAAATGTCTTATTCTTTTCATCCGTCCAAACCCAAAAAGAATACTCTATGGGCGCTATGTTACCACAGAACACAAACAACCTCATTTGCTGGTGGTGTCTCATTAATACTCGACTTGATCTCAAGCACAATGACAGTTCGAATAAACGTCAATCCCCGAACGAAACCTCCAAGCTTTCTACACATTGAGTGAGTGAGTTACTAGTTTGCTTGCTACTGCTGCTTGAGGGGGGGGGGAGGGGGGAAACGACACACTCCCACTTTCCTCCGAGGCAGTGCACCGATCTTTGGGTCATTGCCAATGTCCGACATCACATGTACGCCCACGTGCCCTTCTTCCACTTTGATGCTCAACAAGGCAGGCTTCCAGAACAAATCACAGCCACATCGCCCAGAGCTCTTTTGCTATCGTTTCAGAAACGTGATCAAGGCAGGCGGACATGCACTTGCAATTGGGTGGAGAAACGATTAACCCCGTTTTGGATCCATACGGTGTTCAACCCCCCACCGAGCCTGCGCCGCAAGATACATCAGTGAGGTATATTGTCTACTGCATTTTCTCGGTCAATACAATGGTTACAATTTCTCCAACCCAATCAATCTGTCTCCGCGCCTCAGCAGGCAGCAACACCTAGCGGTTACCGCCTTGCCGTCTTACTAACTTCGGTGAGAAATACCTGGCCTCGATGTGTGGTAAAAGTCAATCAAGGGCAAAAAGACCCCGCTGCCACCAACACGTGATGCGTGCGAGGGAGCCAATTTCATCATTAAACGTGTGCTTTGTGTATTCGGAGCGACAACAACGACAACCGTGACAAACCATTGCCACCAATGGGAAATGACGCAGTAAAAATATGCCCAGACCTGCCTCTGCTGCCGCCGCAGAAAGATGATAGCTAAAAAAAAGAAAAAGAAAAAAAAGGACGATAATAAAGAGGAGTAAATAATAAAAGGCAAAAAAAAGGACGATCCAGCACTGGCGAGAAAAACCCCAGTCACACGAATGCGGCAAGATTGAGGAAATCCCCTTAGCTGGAGCGACGCCCTTCGCCTCCGTTTTCTTCCTTCGTCAGCACTTCAACGTCGTCCCCTGTTCCTTCCCATGCCGTAATATACAATTCCCTGTTTCGCCTGTTGAGAGACCGAAAACACCATGTAAACGCCAAAAAGAAAAAGAAAAACATATCCGGACCGCCCTCGTTTGTCGACGTCAAGATTCGGTAAAACCGATAGGCATCGCTCTTGCACTTAAAGCCCGGCGCATCCTTCAGTGCCGAGCAGTGATAGTGGCCTGGGGGCTAACAAGCTCAGGGCTCACAAGCCTGATTGTCGATTCCCGAGACAGCTCCTCCAGTGCATTACGAGAGGCCTTGCTAAGGCTTCTATGGAGCTTGGTGGCAATTTTGCTAGTCGTCTTCTTCACCGGCGTTACGTCATCATCAGTGGTAGCTGCCACAATAGTCATGCTTGGTGCCCGGCTGGAAACCTTCTTAGGAGATCCCTTTCCGTATGTCTTTAGCACCTTTCCAGTGCCCGACTTACGGACTGCCGTAGCTTTACGCGCAGGACTGGGTGCAGTGTACTTCTTTGGTGCAGACTTCTTGGTAGATGTCTTAGCAGGAGTCGCCTTCGTTAATGCCTTCGAGGGAGTGGTCTTTGTGTTGCCGCTTAAGATTGCCATGGCGGATACGCGTCTCTTGACCGTGGCCGCCCCCTTGACGGCAGCCTTGCTGACGGTCTTCAGACTCGCAGCTGCGGAGAGCGAGTGCCTGGTTCCCTTGGCGGCCTTGATTTTGCGCTTCTTTGCAGGGCTGCTTCCGTTCTCATCGTCGCCAACCAACGTCTCGAGCTTTCGCTTACTGGCCTTGACAGCACTCTTCACCACTGCCTTGATAGTCGACTTGGGCGGCTTGGGTTGCTTGACCTCTTGCGGCTTGGGTCCCAAAATTCCGCGACAGTTCGGGGCGCCACAGAGACACTTCTGAACATTCTCGTCACTGAAAGGGCTGAAGTTGTAGTCGTACGTAAGCTCTTCTCCCGTCATGATGGGCTTATCTCCCGCAAAAAGCGCCATTCTGGGTTGCCCTGACACGATCCACTTGATCATTCGGCAGTTGGGGGCACATGAGTGGTTGACAAAACGAGCGATGCTACCAGTCGTCGCATCAATGATCATGTTCTGATCGAAGCTCATGAGATAATAGCACTGATCCTGTGTGTAAGCATTACTGACCATAGCACGTGATTGTATATCGACATACCTTGTTGTCCTTGTACTTAGTTTCCATACGATGCGTGCACTCCTCGTCGGTGATAATTTCTCCCGTGTACTCCATGATGATTTGGTTCGCCTCGAAGCAACGGTTGGCACGAATGCCGTAGCCACGGTCCGCGGTCTTGATAACTTCGACACCAACACGGTACTTACCACCACCTGCTTTTCTCTCCTGAAGATCGGCAAATGAGCGGTTCGTGCAATTCTCTCGGCCAACGTTGCAGTTCTTCTCGTCACACTCGTACAGCATAATTCTGTTCTGGCAGTCTTCGCCGCAGCCGTCTTCGGGTTTGCAAACGCACTTGGACTGATCCACAAAGTGCGGTGTCTTCTTCCAGTAAATGATCGAGTCGCCGATGAAGCGGTCTGTAACATGTCAGCATAAAGAAGTAAATGGGGCATTGGCTGAAAAGTCTAACTCTTTGTCATCTTTCTAAACTCATCAGGCTTCGGTTGCCCAGGCGGCAAAGGGTTGCAGACGTCGAACGGCAGCTTGAAGTCACGTCCACTGAGAAGAAGCCGCAATCCGCTGAACATGGGTAGAGGAAGTGCCTTGTTGGGGCGACCATAACCTTGAAGTTCGGGCGTCTGGGAGAGCTTTTTCTGCTCAGCAGTCGAGAGGCCTTTGGTGAGGTCGGCAGGAGTTTCTTGGCCAGCGTACAGTCCGCGAGTAAGATATTTCTTGGTGCGCTTCGTCTTTTTGGGTTGAGCCTCAACCTCCGCGGGCTTCTCTGCAGCGACTTGTTCCTTCTTGGGCTCCTCGGGCTTGGCTTTCTTCTTGGGTGGAATTGGGATACCATTTTCGTCCACAATCACCAACTTTCCGTTAGACCAGACAGTTCTGATAACGGGTTTTTCTTCGATGCCAGCAAACTCGTTTGTGTCCTGGAGACGGCGCAGCTCACGGGACATTTTGGACATGTTCTTCTCGAAAGTCTTACGGCTGCGCTTGCCGAGATTGGAGACCTTGTTTGCAAGCGTCTCGACCGGAGTGTTGGTTAGACGCGCCGTATGGCGGGTAAGCCGGGGTGTTTCTGTCTTGGCCTTCTTCGCGCGCGGGGCCTTGATCTCGCCGACGGACCATTGAAGGTCCAGCGCGTCAATTCCATCGCGGACGAGATTGCCAGCCACCCGTACCACAGCATCGGCATTAGACTCGCCATTTACGAGTGTGTCGCCAGAAATTGTTCTGCGGCGGCTGGCCACATCGTCACCCTTGGCGCGTCGCTTTCCACGGTTTGCCGTGCCGCTTAGCTCAGACAAGTTATATGTTTGATTTCCGGAGCACGAACGACGTGGGCGCGGTGCTGACGACGGAGGTCCTGAGGGTGTTTCGGGAGTCGGATCGGCGGGTGTTGTAGTAGTTGCCTCGGCGGGAAATTCGATTTGAGCTTCGATTTGGGCTTCAATATGCGTTTCGGTCTCGAGGAGGACAGACACGTCGTCAAGTTTGGGGCCGTCCGAGGCCTGGCTTGCAATATCGGAAACACTGGTAGGGGGAGTTGAGGTTGAGGACGCGATATTGGAGGAGCAATCAGTCGCGGCAGCGGACAAGCCGCTTTCGCTTAGCAAAAGAGACATATCGGGGTAGGAAAGCCAGTCTCGACGCGATTTTTAACAATTGCAATGTCTGGTGTGCTTCCTCGGGTCGGGAGAGTCGAAGTGCGACGCGTTCCAAATGAGGGTGTGTGCGTGTGTTGGGTGGAAAGAAAGTCGGGGGTGGGAAGGTCCAGAGTAAAGTCCAGACACGAAAAGCAGAAGGAGAGGGATTGGACCGGGGGTGTGTGCGGAAGCGGCCGCAGGCTCAGGCACGCAGAATTGGCTCGTTCGCTACCTTTTAGCTTACTCGCCGGGCATTGAGTGGCAATAAGGTATCCTCCGAAGCTGACTGTTTGGAGGTACTGTAAGTGCTGAAGAAGGTACTGTGTAGTACGTGTTTTTTTCCCCAGCAGAAAACAGCCGAGAGCAGAGCGCGACTTGAGGGAGCAAAGGGGGGTTTTGACAAGGGAAGGCTAAGAAAATTGAAAGAAGAGGAAGAGAGGAAGAAATAAAATCAAATAAAAGTGAGACGGCAACAAAGAAAGAGAGAAAGAGAAAGAAGACAAGGTCAAACGCCTGTGAATTCCTTTGAAGTTTTTATTTATTTTTTTCCGGGCAGAAGGACTTTTGAAATGTGCTGAAATGAGCAAGTATACGTTCTCAACAAGTTTTCCCCCCGTATACTTGCAATGTTGCTACCGTGATAAAAATTTGGACGCGGCGGGCGTTTTATTGGAAAGACTGCGCTTTGGGAGGGAGTAGAGAAGTAAGGTGGGAAGTTGCGTGGTACAGGTGAGGCAAAGTGTGGTAAGACGAGAGGCAAAGACACAGACGGGTGTGAGAGGATTTACGGGTGGGTGGCTGGCTGGAAAGGCTTGAGGGAGATTCCGTTCCGTCCAGTGTCGTGTTGAGGACGGAGCGCGGGGAGTGGGGACGCGACTAAATTGATTGATGATGGATGGTTGGCGGATGTAGGTGATAAACGGCGATGATTCTCAATTAATTCACCCCTTCGGTAGGTAAGAGGTTGATTGAATGATTGAGTGGTTGAATGGCTGCTTGGCCAACCCCTGCGGTGCTTTGGGACCGAGAGATTCGGAGCCTGAGCGATGGGGGTAGGCAGACGGAGATCAAAGACCTAGTTCGGGAGAAGAAAACGCGAGTTTGAGAATGAGCATGCGTGAAGAAGGATGGTGATGATGAGAAGGTGTCCCGCGGGAGAATATGCTTCTAGATGAGTGAGATGGAAAACGGAACACGCTGACCTCTACTCAAAGGGAAGCATAAGAGAGAAAGAGAGAGAGGCGCGGCCTTGCGAAGGTTTGCCTGGCGTGCTGCTTGTTGTTGGTGCTGTACCAGTGTGGACGGATACTTCGTTGCTCAGTCTCGTCAAATGTCTAGCTTTTTGTGGCCGGTCCTGTCTGGCCTGGCACTCCGTCAAAATTGGTCAAGTGACTCTAGACGGGATGGCAATGGAGTCGGTAAATGCGGACGTGGACGTGAACGTGGAGGAGGGCGTGGGTTAAGTTGGGCGGGCCGTTCTTCTGGCCTCGTTTTGTGCTTGGGAAGATGCAAAGGTAAACAGAAAGCTACCTGGCTCGTGTTGTGTGTGTGTGTGTGTTTGTGTGTGTGCGTGTGTCTGTCTCCTCTCCTCGTCTATCTCGTCTCGTCCTGCTCCTCCTCCACTTATACATCACTCTTGAACATTGGATCCTTCTTTCAGCTGACTGCGACCTGACCAACTACACAACCGGCTGACCCGAGGCTTTTAAATGGGAGATGTATGTATTGTGGCAAGGTCCAAGAAACAGTTTCCCCAAATCAAATCACTTTAATTGCCATAGTTGTGGTCGATCTCAGTCTTTGAAATACGCAACTCCATGTTTTATCTGATTGCGCGGTTTGTATCCTCTCGGACCACCTCCTTCTTTTTGTCTTTGCCGCCGGCGCTACTTCTGTTTATGCTGAGCCTCGCCCCGATAGAGGCATGATACACAACACCACACCTGGGACTTCTTGCATGAATCATTTTGTCCGCCTTGGCCACCATGTCGTCCATGACAGACGGCGCCTAACAGTGCGGGTTCCAAATGTTCATCTATCAGCTGCATGTATGACTTTTCGAATTTGTATTCTCTGAATACCGGTGAAATGCCACAACTTCTTGAGAAAGGATACATAGAGATTGCCTTGTACTTGCCATATACATGACCCGGTCACGCAGTCCGGTGATCTAGACGTAACGCGAGCGTATTATGGCAATGCTCACCTCAAATGTGATTTGTTAGCTGTGCCAAAGACACTTAATCCTTCAGATCGACGTACGCTCAGGTAAGAGATAGAAGTCGAGAGATTCGATCACTCGGAATGCCCAATTAACTCTGGACTGCGAAGCACTTTATCTTAACATCATACTGATAAAAAATAGTCTTCCGATTTTAGTTAACCTCGGCATTTTGGTGGCTCATCGAATTTCAACTTTGGCTGCATGTAGGGTCAGGTCTTCATTAATACAAGACTCGTTGGATTCAGTGTCTCGGTGTCAATGGGGAAGAGGCTGCTCGGTTTGCGGCGAGACAGATTTGAAATGCGATCGTGACCAGCCACAACTTCCTCAGTCGATAGTACTTATAGTCACGAACCATTCCGGCCCTCGGGTTGAAATCCCCTTCGATCTCATTGCATATGACAATGAGACATGGTGCAAACCTGAGCCACAACAGAGAATCGATTGGGTTGCGAATGGTAGAAATAACACCGACGAGCCAGCAATAAAGGAGAGAAAGATTGCATAGTGAGTTTTGGTGTGAATCGGTGCATTTTCTTTCCCGATGTACTCTCATTTCCACGATGCTGCGGAATTTATGAGTGATGGCACTGCAAATGCTTTGGAAGCCATTGCGGATCATGACGTTGTAGTGGTTGTAATAACACGCGAACCGAACCACACCAATATATCGGTTTTCAGGTACTGGCCTTTGGGCGGGTCGAAGAGGTAGGTGCGCACCTCCCGTCAGCGGCGTTGTCTATATCGCACAACCCCCCAAGGCTAAGAACTGGGAGAACAGAAGGTACTTGACAACGAAGTGTCAAGGAGGGATGGTTTCCCTCGAGTCAGTCAAAGGTACGCTGCAACCCCGAATTAGAGTGAGCCTATATGCATTTGTTCAATTATTCTTAATTAAAGAGTCTGTCTGATCTTCTGTTCTAACCGAACCAAAGTTAGAACGCCACGAACACATACACGCACGAGAAGGGTATTATGGCATGAACGCAAGGAGAAATACAGGCCAAATCCGAGCCGAAGGCGAATTCAGTCGGCCTAAAGGTGGCATCTATCTCGCCCTCTCCAGGACCACCAATCACCCCGTCCTGCAAACCAGTCTCCAACAATTATAAAGCCAGCCAACGAAATCAAATACAAGGGAAAACATTGAAAAAGAAAGGGGTGATGCTTAGGCAGCAGTGGTCTTAACTTCATCCTTAGTGGCAGCGTCCTTATCTTCGACATTGTCTTTGACGCTGAGGCCAGCGATGTTGGGCACCTCGGATTCCTCCGCCTTTGAAGACTCTGACTTTTCGAGTTCAGTGGCGGCAGAAGCAGTCCCCGCCGTCTTCTCAGGTTGAGGCGCGGTAGTAGAGGCTGGCTCGGTGGATTTCGCCGTTGCCATGGCAGTTGGAGCCGTACTATCGGCGACAGCCGGAGGCTCAGCAGCCTGGGTGTCAGCGGCAGAGGCGGAGGTAGGTGCGGGAGTTTCGACTGCGGCTTTAGTCTCGGTAGTTGAGGTCGCGGGATCGCCGAGTTTCACAGTCTGGCCGGTGGTCTTAATGCTCTCGCCACTGCCGCCGTAGTCCTTGGGCAGTGACTGCTTCAGATTGGGGAGCTCGTTAGCCAGCTCTGCTCCGTAGCCGAGGGGGTGGAACTTGGCGACGGTCTTGGGCGCCAAGAACACCTTCATGGCCTTGAAGACCCAACCCATGAGGGCAGGGATGTTGACAAAGAATTTGTGGTTGAGCAACTCGGGGTAGGCCATGGCAAAAATTTTGATGGTCTGCGAGGAGGCATTCTTGACGGCCGGATCCATGCGCAGGAAGCTCACGTTGAGGTAGTCGTGGACCTGAATCATCTGGTAGGGATCCTCACCACCATCGGGGATGGGGGTCTGGACCTTGTCTAGGTTCAGTTTGCGGACACTGAGCTCCATGAGAGCAGCACGCCACTTGATGAATCTGTATGGCAGGTCAGTCACGAACTCACTATGAGAAGAAAACCTTATCCGGATTTCATATACTCACTCATCAACGTTGCCAAAAGTGGCCTGCTTATCCTTAACGGCACCGTAGATGTTCCAGGTGATTATGACCTCCTTGCCCTGAGTATCCTTGTGGGTGGTGACATAACCGAGCTCATCGAACTTCTTCGTATCGAAGTATACTTCGTCGAGGAGTTTTCCAGGGTTAGTATCGCGACGCCATTCAAGGGCCTTCTGCAACTGATCAACAGCCTTGGAGACATCATCATCGTTGGCGCGCAAGAACTTCTGCAGAACAACGGTGGTCGGAACGTGGGTGCTGTCGGACAGCTGCACACCCCACATCTCCTTGTGCTTGGCCGCCTCGAGGATACCGGGCAGCTTGTCGAAGAATGAGGTGAGAGGAGTCTGGGCCTTCTCGGCAGGCTTCTCCTCTGGTTTGTCTTCTGGCTTGGGCTCCGTCACAGTCTGCGCATTCTGTTGAGACTCGGAGGGAACAGCAGGGGCATCCGTGGCAGTTGCAGTGGCAGTGGGCTGAGCTTCTGTAGCAGCAGCAGCCGGCGCCGGAGCATCGACACCAGGAGCATCAGCAGCCTGTGCAGGAGTAACAGCTGGGCCAGCAGCTGGGGCTGCTGTAACCGGCGTGTCGTTTGTGGTCTGAGCAGACATGGTGACAAAAAACTTGTGAAATGCGATCTGTGATGTAAATGTCAGAGCGTGTGAGTGTGTAATCGACTGACGGCTCAGTTACTGGAAGAGAAAGAGCAAAAAAAGTTTCCGGCCCCTCTTCCTGCAAGCTGTGTTGAGTGCGTGGGTATGTGTGTGTATGTGTTGAGCTGTCTAATTTTTTTTTTTTCAACGGCGTTGGGTAATGATAATAAATCAAGGCAGGCACGGGAGCTTGGGGTACTTACTAGAAGTATGTCAGACAGGACCAGCAACGAACAGACCACCGAAGTCCACCAAGGATTACGGCAACAGCAGCAGCAACAATGCTAGGCCGTCGCAACACACCGGCAAGAGCAGGCAGGGTTACACTAACCATAGCTCCTGATCAATATCAAATCGGCCAGTGCTCCGTGCGTTGCTTCCGGGGAACTTGAAAGTACCAATTACCTTGATCCAATCAGTGCGCCCAGTTTTCCCAATCCTAAACCCTTCCTGCTCTGGCCTGTGCATCTCGGGAGAGTGGAGTGGAGAATGGGCCCCTATTTTTTTTCGAGAATGATTTACGCCGTTTGGCTTCGACGGTGCCTCGATGGGGTCTCTAGTCCTGACATCTTCTTCCTTGTTCATTGAGCCTTGTCTTCTTCTCTTGCGGCCCGTCGACGTTCATAACAAGCTGTTTGGTTCTCCTTGGCTTATCTTTCTGTAGCCAAGCCATAAACAGGTAAACAAACACCTGATTAGCTAGCAATTCACGCCGTCACGTATGGGTCCCAAGCCTGCTTGACTAGCCACTATTCGGTGCAACCCTATGCTGCAGGTTATAATGGCATGGCAGTCTCTGTTTATTTATTTTATTTTGGGGCACCAAGAAGCAGCCTGGTACCTCAAAGTGCCCTGCCTGCACCTGCGGCACCTGATTTCCAGAGACCGAATATCGGAGAAATACCCTCGTCCCACATCAACTCATTAAACTCTCCCTGCTTGCCAGCCTCTGACACCTACTGTTAATACGCCGCTTGCCCCGCCGTAATGAGCCGTTCCGGAGCCCAGTTATCCTTTCATCGCCGGCCAAACTGCCTGCTGGTTGCACGGGATATTCCAGGGGCGTTGACTTTCGTGTGATGGCACATCGTCGTCTTAGTAGCCCCAATATGCACTTGAGCCCCGCCGTTGGCCCGTGCCTCTTCCCGCCCAGCGGCCAAACAATATCCAGCAACCGCCTTAGCGGGTCGGCAGAGCGCCCATCTCAGGGGAGAGCCATTTCCCACTGAGGGGTCGCCATGCCACGCCTGCCCTACACTTGGAGATGCAGGTGCCGGGCGATGCCGCGCTGGTTCATGCAGTGAACAAACCCCCCCACCCTGACGACCCCATCTGACTGGGCGTCTAAACGTACCACCAACCCGACTATGGCACTCACTCTACCCCACTCAACCAACTTCAACCTCGCTACGGACTACCCTTTGCTTAGCTCAAGCTATCAATGACGCCGTCTGCAACGCCAAACAAGCCTATACAATCCACTTTGAGTTATGTCCCTTGAACAAAGAAGGCTAAGGGGGCAACGTATTAACTACCTACGGAAACTACTCTAGAGTTCCATTGGTCTAAGAGCTACAGAGACCAATCTTTTTGAGCCCCCAAAGTCTCTACCTTTAATAGTGCCTGTACCCGCGCAATTCCTTCTCAGTGAAAGAAACCAGAAAACCCCATGGTTTCGAGAAGGGTCAGGCTGAGACAAGCTAAATCAGCCCATATTGGTGACGAGTCTCTTAATCGTGTCCATCTTTGGGCTTTTCATACCAAACCAGCCATGAAAACAAACTCGTGTAGATGCAAAGCACTGAAAGAAACTCATCCCGAGAGTGTACGTGAAAAGCCAAAACGCAAAAGAAAAGCAGAATGACCGAGCAGAAGACACTTGCCAAACATTATCCATTCCCCAATCATGAAATCCATCCTAATACCCACTGTCGTTGCTATTGTCTTCGCATAATCGCTTAATGGACGTTGGTAATGGTCAGAGCGCGACGAATGATCGACTCCATTGTCTGGTATTCGTGCATAGCAAGCTGAGAGAGGGTCACACTATCAAAGGCGGGGCCGGCGTGGTGGTTCAGCTCACGCCAGAAATAACCGAAATAACCATCTGTGGCGTCGCCGATAGCGCGGGTCTGAGACTTCTCTTGGAATGGTTGCGTTTCGAGAAAGCGACTGGTCTCCTCGCGGATGACAGCGATGTACCACTGAAGACATAATGGTTAGCTAGATACTCCCTCTATCTGACTAGACAATGGACTAAACTTGCCTCGATCACGTCCAGGGGAACGCCGGTCTTGGGCACAAGCACGTAAAGGTGGCGCCAGCTCTCTGCAAAGCGTGGCTGGCCGAATGCTCTCTGCTCCATCTCATCCATGCCTACAAGATAGGCAATGTCGTCCTTTTGCGCAGTTGAAAAGCCCTCGCACCGCATCGCCGCGCCAACCACGCGCTTTAGGAGGCGCTGCGTGAGGTTCACCTCATCGCGGCGGTCACGAATGCTACCAACTAGGATACGGAGGAGGTCGCAAGTAGCCTTGTGCACGGCGTGACGCTGCTGTACCGTAATGTGTGACTTCATATGCCAAGGGAACTTTGTGAGAGTGCTGATGACACATTCGAATGGTCGCTGGGGGCACTCCTTGGAGAACGGGGACTGGTGTGCTGTTAGCGACAAATCTTCCCTAACTGGTTATAAATAAACATACTCGATGAGGAACTTCCACATGCTTGACAAGCATGGTCATCTCCTCGATGGAGACAAAGCCCTTGAAGTTTTCCCAAGGTTCCTCAGCGTTGTGAGGAAGCACTTGAGGGTTACATCCGTTCCAGAAGACACCTCGAGCCGAGGGAAACAGGTCTTTCATGAGAGCAGCTTGGCTGGAAAGCTCGATCTCCACAGGTCGCTGGCCGATACGCGTGATTCTGCCACGGTTGATGTTCTGCTGGTGCTTTTCAACAGCCTTTGTAGCGTCCTCCAGGGTCTGGAATTCGACATAAGCGTCGGTGGTCTTGCCAGTGACACGCTCCATGATAATGTGAACAGGTTCCTCACTGTCGTTGAGGATGCGAGAGTTACGACCGAGAACAGCGATGATCTCAGCACGGTTGGTGACGAAAGGGATCTCATTAAAGTTAGTTCAATCCTGCTGAAGGGGGTGAGATATCGTTGTGTACTCACATTGCCAATCTTGACAACGCCACGAATCATGACAGTGCGAGAGCGGCTAGCGGGTTCAATGAAAGGAAAATTGGCTTGATGCAAGGCTGTGTCAACAGTAGGGAGGCCCGTTGTGGTAGCTGTCAGACGATTAAGCTCAGGAGATCGCTGGGCGCGAATGTATTCAGGAATTGGGGCGCCGTGGGGAGTGGTGATAAGCGCAGAGGAATAGTTGACTTGGTAAGGAACGACTGTTCCATTCTGTGCAACAATAGGTTCAGTACTTATCGATCCATCTCCCTGCTGACCAGTAATACCTCCATCGCCATTGCCAGATCCGTCCTGAAGAGGGATTCCCTGGACACTCTGAAACTGCAAACCATTGCTGAGAGGCGGCTGAGTGTAGGCTCCAGTAATGTTGAAAGACTGGTCTTTATGGTCGAGATTGCCATAATTGACAGCTTTGCCAATAGGAGCACTAACAGAAACCTGGCCCGTCAAAATCAAGTTCGTATTGCTAGTTTGAGGTCCGAACTGGTGCAATTCAACTGAGCTGCCCAGAGAATTTTGGGTAATAAAGGGGTCATTAGACTCAGTGACAAATGTATGGTTTTCGTCCTTGCCCTTTCCCAGGTCGAACTTGGGTGGAGCCTCAAGTTGAGTTCCATTGAAGGAGGCACGGGGGGCAAAATTGCGCGGTTCAGTCATCAATCCATGATTCGAAGCCTTGGGTGTGCCGTCCCCAGGGCTCAGAACTCCCCCAGAATTCATCATTTCTCCGGCTTCATTGGAGTTCTGAAGACTAGCTCCTTTCATCTGACGAACAGGAGTCTGGCGGACAAGATCTCCCATCGAAGCACTGCCACTGAGTTGATGACCGTTAACTACAGTGTTAGTCCAAATTGACCCTTTCTGCTGAGTGAGAGCTTGGCATTCTTGCGGAACGTGGGTGCTTGTGTAAGCTGGGTTTATACCAGCCGCGTCGCAGGTACCAGGGTCGAGTTGGAAGGCGGGCACAGCAAGGCTGTTGTTGTAAAGAGTCAGATTGATCCAATCTGTGGGAGTATCAGAGTACGTCTGAGTAGTCACTGTGCCATTGTATTGGTCTTGATGGGTCTTGCAATTCTTCGAAGCCATACCGGCGACCGAATGTGTGTTTTCGTTCATCTTGGCCAACATCTGGGGCCAGGCTGATTGAAGGGGATTAACCTGAACAAGAGATAAGCCAAGGTCTGCCTTACAGTAGAAAAGGTTGATTGAATGATAACTTTAGTATACCTTATTGGCTTCCCTAGCTATGACTCCTTCGGGAACCCAAGGGGAAGTTGTAGGGTTCAAGTCGGACGAAGCTTTGTTCTGAGGTTGGCTTATGTTACTGGCAAGTGAGCCACTTTCAAGAAGAGCACCGCCCGGCTCATTGTTGTACTCTCCCTCTTCCGAGGCATTTCGGAGGAGAACACTGTGCATGAACGCGCTCTGGCGAGCCTCTTCATGAAATTGTTTGCCCATTTTCTGGTCAACTATCCCCGTGATGCCAGAAGTTTGGGTGGAGTTGGTCATTTAGCTGATTGCATAAAAGGGATCTTCGTAATGAAGCGAAATGGTGAAGCTGATGGCGCAGGCGTTTGGTGATGAGCAACAACACTGTGAAGGAGAGCGGAGAGTAGGCGGTCTAAGGGTAAGATTAGTGACTGACACTTCAAGAAAGTGGAGTGAGATGGAAATATTTGACAAAACGGAAGGGTACCTAAAAAGGGAGGCGTAGGGAATAAAAAAACAACATCAGTCGGTTAGGAAGATGAGAACTTAGTGAATGACGGAATACGAACCGATCAAGTGAGGAAAGATGGTGGGGCTAGGAGCGCAAGGATGCAAGACGGAAGAAAAACAAAGACCCGTTGAATTGGAAGAGCGAAAACAGATTGAGTTGTCGCCTCGCTCTCCCGCCTCTATAATGGCTTGCTCTTTTCTTGTTGTTGTAGAGTTGTCCAGGGAAACGGGGCTGAGGAGGAAAGAGTCAAGCTTACAGATTGGGCGGGTAGCAGGTGATCCAGCTTCAGGCCGAATATAAGGTCGAACGCGGCAATAAGAGGCCAGCCTGGTTCTTCCGTGGTATTATTCGACTTTCCTCAAAACTCATACAGACTGGTGGGGTCTGGTACGATAAGAAGAGGAAAAGAAAAAAAAAGAAGTACAGGCACTTGAAATGAAGGAGGACCGAGGAAGCGGATAGGGGTATAAGGAAGTGAGTAAGTGAGTGAGTATGCGTAGCTAGGGTGAGAAATGTTGAACTTTATAAAAGTTGAGAAATAGGGGGAAGAGGTGGAAGGAGCAATACTACCATCCAGCCTGGTGTGAGCAGGTAAGTAAGTGCCAGCTATTGTCAGTGTGGAAGATGTGAAGAGGAAAATACGGGTGTGAAAAAAGTTGGTACAGAGACGGGGCACATGCCTTGCATTAGCCCAATGGGTCGCAGGTCAGAGACAAGGTTGATGAAGGGAAATATCACGAAGGGCTAAAAGTGAAAATGAAATAAACTAGCAGTAGGTAGGAATAGAACGATTCTTATCCTCACGATGCAAAACCAAAAACAAGCAGGAGTCAAAAACGGAGTATAAAAGCGAGCCCATTCACATCGATTCCTCGAAGACAACCTGACAAGCAAGATGAAGAAAAAAAGAATCGCAAGGCTTGCCAAAGTTGTTGATTGTTTGATAGATGGAACCGCGTGGCAAATCACCAGTCTTCATCCAAAAAGGACAACGACTGAGCCTGTAACAAGTTCCAATTCACAGGCGGAAGGAAGGAAGGAGCGCAGTAATCTTAACTTAGAGTGGCGTGCAGTGAATGTTGGTTGGCTTCAGCATGAATAAAGCTTGACAACCCATGCTTGGTCACAAAACAATAGGGAAACCATCAATATTGGTTTTTCCAATCCCCGACTCAAAGAACGATAGCCGAGAAATTTCACAATGCTTAAGTCCTTCTCTATGCCAAGGTGTTTCCTCAATAGGGGGAAAGACATAGCCAGACCAGCAGCATAGCCGGGCCTGTCCCAGGAGAGCCGGCCAGATAAGCAAGAACAAGGCTAAGCTGGATGCCTTAATATTAACTATCTATGGCGAAATTCATTAGCTAGAACAGCTAAGCCCGAGGCGTTTCAGGCAAAGATGAGAACCTTCGTCGCCTTCTACTTGGGTTGGTGTCATCGTGACATTGCTTATCGTGTAGTTGCAGGTCCTGGATAATTCAAACACGTGCCGTTCGCCTTAATTTGAAGGATTCCAAGCCGCGTTTACTAAATACCGCTGCTTAGCGACAATACAAGTGAATCTTGAGAGTTATGAATGTTGTTACGGTACACGGCTTTTCAGCCATAGTTCTGGCGGGATCACCATCCCTGGTGACATGTTTACCGAATGGTGCTAGCATGGACAAACAATAGCTATTGAATACAAACAGAACTTATCGGCACAAGACAGGGTCGAAAGTCATGATCATATCTGGATTTTATATCAAGTATGAGGTCCCAATATCATCGTTCCCACTCGGCCCCGGAATTACGGACCAATGTCGACGTCGGATCCATTGTGGATCCCGGCATTCCGGCTACGCTCGAGCCAGTGTCAAACTCCAAATCATGATCCTTGCTCGGAACCTCAATGTAGCCAGTTTCTTAGGTCGAGCAATCGGAAACGGTCTTCCGTTCTTTCTTGCGGCCCTCCGGCTCATGTTACGCTTGCTGATGGGTATTTTAATCGAACTAGAGAGGAATACGGTCAATGACGTCAAAATAAGGCGGCCTTGGGCAGATCAGCTTACGGGAGTCAGGAAAGATTCAGCAACGAATCTTGCTCGTGCGTTCAGCTAGAATACTGTCAGCGGTTTCTTGTTGATAGAATAAGTCCACAGTTTTCAATCAAGGCTATACTTACGAAGAGCTTCATCTCCGAAATCTCCTTATCAACCTCCTCCATAAATTGAATGATGAAGTCGACTAGCTTGTGTTTCAACATTTCCTCTGTATGGAAGTTGGTGATCAGGAAGGAAATGTCGTATCCCTAAACCTCGTGGTCAGCGGTTTGGCTTTACGAAAGGGGGTGTATGCCACGTGGCATTGAGCCACCCGAGAGAACAAACGATTCACGACTGCAAATTCCGCGTACCTTGATGGGCTTCCTCCTCAAGATAAAGAAGGACTCCGCTCTCTGCGTCAAGAATCTGGTGAACTTATGAACCAGAATGTGTTCGATCTCGTCGGCTTGCTTGATCTTAATAGATATCCGCACGGAATTGATACTCGGTTCGATTAGGACACGCTCATTCTCGTTGCGAGCAATTGTAAGGGGAGTCAAGAGGACTTCGGGGGAAGTTTTTGCCTCGATCTCGGGGACATTGTGACGTTCGGCAGTTTGGGAAGCGAAGTTGGAGAGCGTCAGGGCGGCTGTCAGACTGCTCCGGACAGCTTGGAGGTAAGGTCGCAAGGATTGAGACTAGAACGGCTCAGTCAGCGAATTGATCTGTCAAGTAATTTCACAAACAATCTTACCATGATGGCGAAGCCTGGCCGCGTCCAACCTTGGTGATGCTGAGAGGTTGGAGTTGGATGTTGACCGCGGGGTTCGTGAGGTTGGCTCAGCCGGAAGCCTGACGTTTCGTAGTGGGGCGGGTAGCACCGCCGCAGTGCTCCACCTCATGCATAGCTGTCACCGTCAATTGATGAGTCAGCTTGAGCTTCTCACGTGACCTAGAAGCTTCTTCCAAGTGGCGATCCCACCCCCGCTTGTGCTTGTTATATACACTTCCCCGATAAGACTGCATAATTTCTGTGCTCTCATCGTTTGCACGAATCTGGGATCCAGAGTTGAACAAGAATACAAAATCATTTGCGGCTCTAAGAATAAGGATTTTAGACTTCTGAATCAGCTGGTTACGGAAAGGGAAGTTCTTGCCTTCCGAAGACATTGGAAGATGGTCGAATGCGGATGATAAAGGTGATGGAGCGGATAGAGGCATGATGCCAGGGTTTACCTGAATAAGCGAATCGGCAGCTGAAACGGACCCTGCAGGTACACCGCTTCCCCGCCTACATTCCGTGTGTTGCCTTGTACTACTGTTGCCCACCCAAGGTATCCCCGTACTGACGCAACCCTCTTGGTGCCTTCAACAAACTTCTCCTCTGCCTGCTTGTTTCGCACTTGGTTTTTGTTCTGGACACACCGCACATATCGTTCTTTTTTTCTACAGTAATTTCGACGAAGGCTTGAAAAGATGGCGTCAATACCAGGTAAGTACATTATCTAGCTCTCGACGTCTCCAATGGCTTCTAACCAGGGCCATAGTCATTGTTAGCCACCAAGGCACAAAGTACCAAGTCGAGGTCGACACTTCATCCAACGGCGAGACTTTCAAGTACCAACTATACAGTTTAACGGGTGTTGAACCCGAGCGACAGAAGATCTTGGTGAAGGGAAAACAGGTGAAGGATGATGACGACATGGCCAAGTTCGGCCTCAAGGCCGGCGCAACACTTATGATGATGGGCAAGCCTTCCGGAGAGAACGCAGACCTTTCCCGCCCCAAAGAGGCGATCAAATTCGTCGAAGACATGACCGAAGCCGAAGCAGCTCAGCAAGAGGGCGCTACCCCCGCAGGTCTCACCAATCTGGGCAATACCTGTTACCTCAACTCTACCCTCCAAACCCTCCGATCGATCCCCGAACTCCAGACGGCTTTGACCACATACAAGTCGGGCAGTGGTGGCGGTGGAAGCAGCTTCGGCTTGGGCTCGACTGATCTTGCTACCCAGTTGACGGACTTGTACAAGAACATGTCGGAGACCCAGGGCAGCATTCCCCCGCTCACCTTCCTGAGCACGCTGCGCATGGTTTACCCCCAATTCGCCGAGAAGTCCAAGACCGGAAACGGATATGCCCAGCAGGACGCTGAAGAAGCCTGGTCTCAGATCGTTATTCAGTTGAAGCAGAAGCTTGCTGAAACTGAAGGCTCATCTTTCATCGACAGATACATGGCTGGCGAGCTCCAGTCCACTCTTGAAGTTGACGAGCAGGCCGCTAGGGATGGCGGCGAAAAGCCTATCAAATCTAGTGAGACCTTTTTCAAACTTAACTGTCACATTGACGCGACTGTAAACCACTTGCGCGATGGTATACTGGCTGCGTTGACGGAGAAGCTGGAGAAGAAGTCGTCCGTTTTGGACAGAGACACGACGTACACCAAGAAATCTCAGATCTCGCGCCTGCCCAAATACCTCACTGTTCACTTCGTTCGCTTTTTCTGGAAGCGTGAGGTGCAAAAGAAGGCCAAGATCATGCGAAAAGTCACTTTCCCGCATGAGCTTGACGTGGTTGAGTTCTGCACGGATGAGCTCAAGAAGGCACTCATTCCCGTTCGCGACAAGGTCCGCGAGATCCGCAAGGACGAAGAAGATATCGAGCGGGCACGCAAAAGACGCAGGATTAACCCCAGTGACCGGGGTGATATTGCCGGAGCTTCTGGGGCTCCAGGGCCCCAGGAGAAGACGGCTTTGGAAAAGGCAAATGATAAGAAGGCTGAGAGAGCTGGAAAGGCCGTCGCCACTACATCCGACGGCGACACGGAGATGACCGAGACTTTCAAGACTGACGCCGAAGTCGAGGCTGAAAAGGATGCCGCCCTCCTTGTCGCCAAGAAGGAGCTGTATGCTCTCGTCAACCAGGACTTAGCTAAGGACGAGGGTGCCAACCAGTCTGGAATCTATGAGCTGCGAGGTGTAGTAACCCACCAGGGAGCAAGCGCTGACAGCGGTCATTACACTGCGTACGTGAAGAAGACAGCCACTATTGATCCTAAGACTGGCAAGAAAGGAGAAGAGGATGGCAAGTGGTGGTGGTTCAACGACGACAAGGTTTCTGAGGTCACAGCGGACAAGATTGATGCTCTTGCGGGCGGTGGCGAGTCCCACTCTGCTCTGATCCTTCTTTACAGAGCCATTCCCCTTCCCACGATTGAGGGAGAGTCCGAGTAAGTTTTCAGATGGGAGAGATGTGGACGGCATCGGCCTTGGCGTTTACGAGCGGGAAAGAGACTACGGGTGGCATACAAACAAACAATGACACATGGAAATGAATTCAGAGCATAGATAGACAGGTCGATGAATGAATGTAATGCAATGGCTTAAGTTCATTACGCAAGCCGCAGCTGCTCCTTTGGTATGGTTTTACATGAATGCTACAATTATCGCCGCCGTCCTTTGTGACGACCTACCTCCCTTTACCATATTAAGTGATCTTGCTAGTTGTGTAGTTGTCAACTGCAGTGGTATCCCAGACTAGATGACCCCTTTGCCTCCCGATTTTCCGACATAGCAGTCTAATGGGTGGCTGCAACCCGTGCGTAGACAGGCTTTTTTCGTGGACTACATTTTGCGAAGTCCCACAAAATCCAGGCCAACACAGAGTTTCCTTGCTGATTTCAATCAGCTCTCTGGCTTTCTTGGTTCTCTTTCGCGTATCCTTTCGTCCAAAGCCGTTAATTTTCTTTCCCAATTGCGTCGCTCTGAGACGAGACGCCGTCGTTGGCCCTCGAGTAGGCCGATCTGCTCGTCATACGGGGACCCGTGGAATTTTTGCCGTTCCTGAGAGACATGCAAGTCAATAACACAGATAATAGGAAAGCGACACGTCCATCTTTTTACTCACATCCTTCCACTCTTGCTGCGTCTTAAGCCCAGCACCGTATGTGGCGCCTGTGAAGATGATGGCCGCGCAGCCGGCTGCGGTGAGGCCGGCGCGGAACTTTGTAAACCCGCTCATTTTTAATGTTGTGGCTTTTTCACCCTTTCTTTGGATCTGTCGGTTTAGGCGTTTACCAGTACTCCCTCCAAACCTGCCTCGATTCTCTGCTCTTCTTGTCGCCAGCGTAGTTGGGGCGGTGTCTTGAAGCCGACAATTCGTCGAGTACTGGCGCCAGAATATTCCACCGGCTTCGTACCGAAGACGATGAACTAGCGACAGAAGAATCGGTGGTTGTCGAGTCGAGAGAATTGGCCCGAGAGTGACCTCGTAATATGCCTAACGGCGAGAGCGAATACCGACGTCTCAAGGACGGGATCGTGGTCGGGGCAGTCGAATCGTACTCGGACGAGTCGGCGCCGGTTGTAGTCGTAGACGGTGTAAACGGCTCTGAGGGCCAAGCTTCGAGCTCCAGCGAGATTGGCGCGATCGCCTCAGGGGCTTCTGTCGAGCAATGTAGGGCGTGAACGGCAGCAGAGGCGGCGCCGTGGGAGCAACGGCCGGAAGTGGAAACAGGGCCCCGCTGGAGACCAAGACTTCGATGCGATTGTGGAAGCCCCAGCGGTCTTAGTAATCGACCTGCGGTAGGCGTGACGTCGTCGCTTGGGGCCATGACTGATCCAGCGTCTGGCAGAGATGAGTGTGGCCTTGGTTAAATGGTAAGATGAGTAAAAGAGAGTTATTTAATAATCTCTATCTGTAACTTTGTAAAAGTTTCCTCCTTTTGCAGATTGAACAACCACCTGAAGCGACCGAGCGGGTGACCTTAACAGTACCGACCTCTTCCCACCCCTCCATTGCCGGTTGGTTTTCACCGGGCTTATTCATTGCCCACTTCCTGGTGCGTGAAACAAACTCCGTGAGAGCATCTTTCGTGGCCCCTCACCCCCCATTCCATCCTCGACCGTTTTGACTCTTCTTGCACCCATCATCCTTTCTTTACCTTTCCCTTTGCGACAGTTGCCATTTCTTCCCCCCCTGCTCTCCCTCAACACATTGGGCCTTATGGAAAAAAAGAGCCTCCCCCCCATTTTTTCGTCCCTTGTTACAGGCCGGCCTAGTTTGATTGGTTTGGTTTATATGGGGGGTCAAAGTGTGCCGCCCCTGTCCGACGATATCCTTGCTGAAACATATCTTTCTCATGGCACACAAGTGAGGGTCCTTCTTCTCGCCTTTTCCTCTTCACCCTTGTCTCTCCCAGTCGCATGAAGCCAGGCACCTGTCACAGAGCCAGGTGAAGAAAGGTATTGCGACGCAAGATGCGGCAAGTGCATGCGAACGTGGTTGTGTGGGATTGTCTGACTCTCGGAACTAAAAAGTACGAGATGCAGGGGCAGAAGAGCATCAAGAGGCAGGGAGGCAAAGAAAGGCTCATCTTTCGGATCGAATGGAGGATATCAGGACCAAAACACCACGGGAATGATGGATGGCAAGCACTGCCTCCCCCGCATGCTTGGCTGATATCGTGGGATGATGGCTAGGACCATTGATTCACCAGGCAAAGTTGCCCCCCGCAGAACGAATCAACGTCACAGGATTCATGTCAAAGCACGCCGTCTTCACGCTCCTCCAAGCACATCGAGTTCTTCAATGCAGAACGGAGCCGATGATGGGGCGGGACGGGAAGGCGGGTAGGCTGGGAAAGCCAAATCGCCAAGGAAACGTCATTCGACCCTCATCGTCTTAACTTTCCCGTCCATTTTGCCTCGAATTCGTCTCCAGGAGCGAATGCCATGAACACATAACCACGTTGGGATCTTGCAGCAGCCGATGAACTAACGCGATATCCTTGTAGCTTCCATTGGCCAAGAAACGGTAATAGAGATCGCATAAACTTCCCCCACACCATCAACCAAAGATACGTCTGTGGCTTTCCATCTCATCCGAGGTTGCATCCGCTGTCAGTCTCTCGAGTGCTAAGAGCTATTATCACACTACTGCAATGGCGACCCCACGCGCCTTTGTCATTCGTCACGGCGAGACGGAGTGGTCCCTCAACGGCCGGCATACCGGTTCCACCGACATCCCCCTGACCGCCAACGGCGAAAAGCGTGTCCGGGCTACCGGCCGAGCACTCGTTGGAAACGACCGGCTTATTGTTCCCACAAAAATTTCCCACATGTACGTCTTCCTTTTGTTTCCTCGCCTGTTGCTCCCCTATCTGTTTGATATCTCGACGTGGAAGTGGCCTCTGTCGCGATGCAAGTGCTCTTTGCTTCTCATGCCTTGACATAACTTATACCGGAGCAACTGCTAAGAAGTACCAGCTACGTCTCGCCTCGCAAGCGTGCTCAGCGAACCTTCGAACTCCTCAACTTTGGCCTCAGCGAGGAACTTCCTTGGAAGAATCACGGCTCAGTTGAGGGCGGCGGGCCCCAGTGCAACGCCCACGTTGAGGTCACTGAGGACATTCGGGAATGGGACTACGGCGACTACGAGGGTATCACGTCTCCTGAGATCCGCCGCATCCGTAAAGAGCAGGGTCTGTCCGAGAACTGGGATATTTGGCGCGATGGCTGCCCTGGCGGCGAGTAAGTACAACATCAACAAAATTCTCCGTCTTTTCCGTCTACGGAGGCAAGTGTCTCGTCGAAATGGGAATCCCCCTCTCGCCGATAGCTTTCTCTCGATCCTATTCAGGGACAGGGATGCACAAGAGAACTTTGCTACAAGGATACCGGCTAATCACAGGACTGCTACAGGAGTCCCGAGGATGTTACGGAACGTCTGGACCGCCTGATCAAGGACATCCGCGATAGATGGCACCGTCCCGTCATTGGAAACAAGGAGGCTCAGAACGGAGATGTGCTCATCGTTGCCCACGGTCATATCCTCCGCGCCTTTGCCATGCGATGGGCTGGCAAGACACTCCAGGATGGGCCGGCCTTCCTGCTTGAGGCTGGCGGTGTTGGTACTTTGAGGTAGGTCGACCCGTGATTTTCATCGTTGGTTTCAATCCATGTAGTATCACGACCGCAACTAATGATTGACACGCAATAGCTACGAACACCACAACATCGATGAACCAGCCATTCTACTTGGAGGTGCATTCGCCGTCGACATCATCGAGAAGGAGCAGGAGGCAAAGCAGTAGAATAGACAAGTCAAAAATTATTATGTTGCTTTTCGACAGATTCAACAAGGGTTGTCGACCAGGCCAGCAGCATTAAGTTCTCAAAAGATGTTGCGCTGCTGCTATTCCTTTAAGCCTTCGTTCCTCGTGCGAGGAACACCCGCCGTCTCATCTCATTGCCGCTCTTTGATGCCTCATGAGTGTGACCATGATCGTGGTCATGACCATGCCCGTCCTCATGCCCATGCCCATGATCATGTCCATGTCCATGTCCATGTCCATGTCCACCAAAGACAATACCGCTGCCCAGCTCCTCCATGGCAAAGTCAAGACCCGCTCCAGCCTGCTCAAAGATGCCACGCATCTCCTCCTCGGAGAAACCATGGTGCTTAACAGTGTGCGCCGCCGGCAGACCATGGTGCATCTTCTCGTGTGGCAGGAAATCGAGAATGATCAGCACCCCGCCGGGCCGCAGCCTTTCGACGAGCCTCTTCGCAGACAACTTTGGGTCGTCGAAATGGTGGAACCCAAGCCCAACGCCCGCGACGTCGAAATCGCGGAACTCGGCACCAGAGAAGGCCGCCGGGTCCGGGTCGGAAGGGTCAGTAAGGTCTCCCTGGTACGCTCGCATTTCGGCGGCGCTCAGACCCTGTGGGAAAGGGGAAAGAAAAGAAGTTCGGGTCAGCTGGGCTTCTCCTGTAACGCAGTTGAAAAGTTTGTCCAGTCACACCACGTATTTCGTGCATTCCCGTCCTGCCTTGTAATTTGATGAGATGACACGGCGTTCGAGACGGGCAGGGAGGGGTGTATCAACGACAACACCGACCCCTCCCCCCTCCGACATCTGTGTACATGCATATAAAGATGTATGTACATGTCTGCTCGCCCGCGCGCAAGTGCCAAAAGTCCAAAGTGCCACTCAACGTCCGCGCGCCCACGTCTTAGGGTGTCATCTGGGCTGATATGAGACCCAGCTGAGTTCTGAGAGAATGGACGAGGCCACCCACCGCCTGTGCTCCGAGCGCCATGTAAGGCGGAAATGGATCATGTCCCAGAACAGGTATGTTCTTTCACCGCTTCAAAGAGCCCTAGGAGACACTTACCGGCAGAGACAGGAATGCGTGTACGTGTGTGGGTGAGGGAAAATGGGACAGAGGGTACTTACTTGGTTCTCGGCTCTGGCGTTGTAAACTGCCACCATGTTTTCTGAGATGTCAATGCCAACGCAGCGCGTGGTGAACTGGGCGAGAGCCTAGCGATGCAGCGGCTATCAGTCGGAAGTTCATTCTCTGCGGGTTTGTCTAAATGCGATGTTTTGGGGGTAAGGAGTTGATGTATCGAAAACGACCATACGCAAGCAAGCAAGCCCGCCGAGCTGAGACTTTAGAGAGCAGTCCACACTAGACTTACTCTTGATATCAAGCCAGTGCCACAGGCATAATCGAGTAGTCTCACCGACTTGCTGTCGGCAGCCGAGGTTGTTTCTGGACCGGCTTCCACACTAGTTTCACCTTCATCATCGTCTTCGTCGTCGTCATCGTCGTCAACCCACTCTACGTCGATGAACTCCTTGCGCTTGCGGATTTCACGCTCAAGCTGCAGGATCGTTTTCTCATGTTTGGAGTCGTACTCAGAGGCAAGTTTGCTGTTCACCATAAGATGATGTGTCAGTTAGAAGACCAGTTCGAGAATTTGATGTTCAGAATCCCAAGTGGACCGCTCTGATTGGAGCATATGGAGGTCGAATGCATGTCGTGTTGCCAAGCGACCCTGCTTTCTTTTGAACAACAACGACCTAATGGATGTATCTGCAGGAACCCGGGAGACAAGATCTTCACAGTTTGGATGTAACTAGGAGCAGTTTCGGTTGTGGATGGTGTAGGGGCCAGGTTGTGGGAATAGAAGTTTGGTGTACGCACTTGAAGTAGGCCTTGTTGGCAGTGGCCGTGTCAGCCATGGTGTATCAACTCGCTACTTGATGTTGTTGGGCGCAAGGGTGGCTTCTGCCTGGATGTGTCGGGGAGTATGTAAGTGTGTGTATGTGTGTGGGTGGGTGTAGGTGTGTTGAGTGGCAGCAGGGTATGTAGTTCCTAGTTCTTGAACCTTTTTTTCAAATGCTTTCTTCTTTCCCCGCCTTTTGGTTGAGGGGCAAGAAGAAAAGAAAAGAAAAAAAACAAAAAAAAATCACTTATCACTCCTAGGCCTTTAACGCTGGAAACTATGGTGGTCTCTATTTGTTGATCGCCGAAAAAAAGCTCAGTTTTTCCTTTTCTCACCACAATTAACTTTTGGGAGGTTGCTTTTATCATTATCGCGGAGAGTTTTCGGCCACTTCAAGGCGGAATTTGGCCCCGGCCGGGACTTGGTTGGAGTTCGGCGACAAAAACATGTTAGAGTCCCACTACTAGAAAACCCGGAGTTGGCCTCCCCTAATGGACGCGGGGTTCAAAGTGGAGAGCCCATACAAAGTTACGAAAGTCACGTGGACAAATTTGTCTAAGACAGGTTATGCCTATACCCGCCACCACTGCGACTTCTGTCAGCATCCAAATCCGAGGCGAGGAGACATTTGTGCCGTCCCTAGTCTACACATGCAGCTCTACGGGTCTGAAAAAAAAACGACGTCAAGCCAGGGGTTGAGGGAGTGGAACCCGAACGAAGCCAGGACCGCATTCCGCGCGGATACCTCGCCTCATTATTTCTGACGACAGCTATGCAGCGGTAGTAGATCCTGGAATCAGTGTACCTAAGCCTCTGTCTGTCTGCAGTAACCAAGCCATCCTGAGTGGAATGCGAAGACGCCCACGAGCACCAAGTCCATTTACAGCCGCGAGACCCGCAAAGAAAGGGGGGCTCTTCCTGAGATTCCCAGTGCCAGCTTGGCAGTTCGAACGGATGTAGTGAACTTCTCGCAGTGTATTTACGTACATACACTCAAACTTACGCAGCAAAAACGCACGCACGACCACATGCATATATATACATTTGTGTACGCACAGCTGCTGCCACACTGTATGTTAAGAACGCCCTCGTCGGCGAAGAGTTTAAACTCGGGGGGAAACATAACAGAATCGAGCCTGAAGGTGAACGTGGACATTTGGAGGAACGCGCGTTGGAGTGAGTATCAACAACGATACTCAAACAGGGGCCGGTAGGTCCAAGTAGGAGAACAAGTAAGAGCGGCATAGAGAGAATGAAGAAACGGAGACGTACGAGCCGGGAAGACGGGCACCAGACGATTTGGCCGGGGCCTACGGGGAGCCGGACCTGGGAAGACAGCTGCCGTGGACAGGTTTGATTGTAAAAACAAGCGGATCGACGCCGATCCTGCTGCAGGCCGCATCGGTCCGCAGCTTGTGACTGCAGCACCATGCGGGCGGTGACGGGCCCAAGCGGCCGTGTTGGAGTAGGACGAATATCGTTGCGACGTCTGACTGGTCCGAGCTGCTCCCTTGGTGCGACGTACGATGCAGGTGGCCTGAACGAGAATGAATTCGAAAAGCAAGCCGGTATGAAGGCCGAGTCGGGTGGAAGCTACGTGGACGGTGGATGATGCACGATGCCCGATTGTCTGGGGGCTGGGGCACGAAGTGTGATCAACTTACTGTACATCTGTTCTATACATGATGCATCATCATCATCACATCAATGGACGGCTATGACAGAGGACCGTTTTCCCCCCCTCCCCTTTCGCGACCTGCATCTGCCGCAAGGTATCGGAAGCCGGAGATTTGAGCCGGAGGAGACGGATGAGATGCCTTTCGGCGATGAGCGATGCGCGCGGACAAGCGGGGAGAAGGAAGAACTTGTCGGACGGGGGTGTGGGTGGGTGAGGAGAAGAAAATAACCCCTCAGCTCCCCCCATCTCTTCTTAGTCAATTGCGGTATGTAGGCAAGTGTCCTGTAGGGGCGGCCAAGTGACGGCCACATCATCAGGTCTAGTTTTCTGCGCTTTCTTTTTGCCGTTTCGGTCTTTTGTTTAGATGTTTCGCCCATGATCTTTAGCTAGGGATTTGGAACCCTAGGTCCCTATATCTGGCGACCGTGACACAAGACGTCGGTTCATACCTGCCGCTTCCTCTGGATGAGGGGAGGGGGTTTCTTTTCGTTCCGCTGTTGCGAGACTTGCAACGGCATTTCTGTCAGATTTGACAGGTCATCTTTGTTTGTTTGCCAACCAACAACAGACTTTGGCGTCGCACGACAAACATTACTTTCTAGGCCCATAATTGGTACCATGTAAAGCCGAGCTCAAAATCGGTGTAAAAAGAAGGGAGAAAAGGAACTTTGACGAGACCTCGCCTACGAGCGAAGAAAGAAAGACATTGGCTCGTAGTCCTAAATTAAATGGACAAGATAAGGAAGGAAGTGGAGGGAAAGTAAGGAGGAATTAACGCCGGTACGAATGAAGACCGAGCCGCCCGAGAGTCCACGGTGTTGAAAGGCTCACTAGTAAGTCGGATTTTCTGCTCACCGCTGCTTTGCCGCTGTAATGCGTCTGCTGCCCTCCCCCATCCCATGTCTGACTGGTGTGTCTGGACCAGCCATCGTTGCTTTCGTTGATTGCTTGTCCCCATAACTCACCCACCATCTTGTGTACCCAGCGCGCTCAGTCAGCACGCTTATATTTCTTAACAGTCAGTGAAGTTTGTCCGCAGTAGCGTGCGTCTTTGGGTTGCTGCCATACTCTCAGACTCGATGGTTAATCGTTCTTAGCTTAGATTCACCCCTCCATGAATTTGCATGTCGCTTCGAGTACCCTCTCCTCCCTTCAAGCCAGGCTGAAACGAAGAGGCGATACGGCATGCCGCCAGTCTGGGAACGGCCTTGTTCATACCTGGGGAAAAGCATGGCGACGCCTGTTGAACTAACATATTGGCAGCTCACCAAAGTGCCGCGTCAGGCCGGCCCTGCTGCGCTAGTGTGCTGCACAGTCCTCTCTGCACATTGGATGATAGCATGCGTCCAGGGCCTACAGACTTTAGTCATGTAGCACCCGTCCCCCAATCGCGGTTGGATCTTGACAGCAAGTTGCTGGCCTGGCCTTAGCGAACCGTCTGCGGTACGTGGCGTGGCTGGTGGGAGTTTATGCGCAACGGGAAGTCTGTTGAGCAACCGTCAATCGTCCATCCGGCATGGGTCCTAGCCTAGTTGGTAAGCGGCCTTGTATTCGGCTGTTCTGGGCTGCCCCATATCGCTCTTGTTCTGGCAGCGGGTGTCTCTCCACTGTTCGTACACCCGTCCAGTCCTGCATGCCGCCGAGGTCCCGTGGAAGACGACTGCTGTGATCACCGTCTCGACACACAGGTGCACAAGGCGGTGGCCATGCACCTGCACCCGCATCTGGTGCGTGGACAGCGCTCCAGTTGTTACCCAATGCCCTGGTTGCCAGAACGGTCGTGTCTGTTGGCTATGAAACCAACGGAAACTTCACGTTAAGTAAGATTAAAAAAAAAAAAAAAAGAAGAAAAAAAAAAAAAAAAGAGAAGGAGGGGAGGAAAAAAAGAAAGGGGGGTGGTGTGCATATGTGATCTATTGGAAGGTTTCGATGGTGAGTTGGGTGTATGCCATTAGAGCCATCCCAGTACCGCATGGGAAGCCTGTGTTGCTGTTTGTCTCTAGGATGTAGACAATTGCAAATGATTGTCTCCTTGTATCGCCCTCTCTGGTACACATCTGTTGGAATCGTTCGGGCTGCCCAAACATAATTTCCGTCCATTCACTTGAGTCAATAGAGCAAGCCCTCTGCCTATCTAGCAACTCACAAAGCCTGACAGGCCTTGCCAGGCACGAGCGGCTGGCAAGCCGTAGCTCTCGTCAACGCATGTGCGGAAACCGTCCGCTGCACTGTACTTCAAAGTCACTCGTTCTCCTGCCTTCGTAGCCTGCCAGAGCCCAAAAGTAGAAGATGCCACTGCTGCCGATTCACTCAGCGCCATCAAACGCAAGCCTGGCGCGGGTTTATTATTATTATTATTTTTGTCAGTCGAGGTGACAAGGGTGTAATTCGGCCTGCGGCATGCGCTTCCAGCAGCAAGGCCGTATCCTTACAGCGGCTGGTATGTCGTTGTTGTTGTTGTCGTGTTTAGACTGCCTGGTCTGGTTGCGCCGCATGGTTGGATTGACCCATTTCGAGGGTGTGTATGTATGTGAAAACATGGCCATCTTCCTTGCATGTACACCTCGGCACAAACAGACGGTAGTACAGCTCTGATAAATTTGCTGACCATGCTCGTCTGACCAGGACCAGAGACCCGAATACATGGGTGCCGAGGAGAGAATGGGTGGTCATCTGTGACCACATTAGTCCCCATTCTTAGACGCCCACCATCGTATTAAGATGCACCCAATCCGACTCAACCCGAGCTGGCAAAGACAGGTTCGGGCAAGGACCAGGTTGTCAGGTGGCAATGAGACTAGGATGGGTGTTCTCTGGCAAGAGGTCCGTGATCCAAAATGGTGGTCTTGATCAGGCCAAGCGGGCTTTGCCTCCTTTTTCCATGGCCCGCCGTGGAGTTTAGGAACAAGGAATCGAAGGTAAAATTGGGGAACTGGGCGGGAGTGACGGGCCAAAGGCGGCTGCATGCATGTGCCTGCGGTCACGTGATGTTCACTAAGTCAATGTTCCCCCAACGATCCAATCACCTTGGGCCAAACCACAAAGTAAGGCCACGACTGCCCCCGTCAATACATAGTAGCCCCGAGAAAAGGATCCTTTTTCGCTATCTATCTTGTCTCCATCGTCCAAAATAGTGCCAGACTCTATGTGCCACGCTTCTGGGCTTTAGTTTGGAGCTGGAGACAGATTGCTTTTCGAAACGCCCTTCATGTTCCCCCAATCAGATTCTGGACGGCCCCTGTCGGCTTGCTGTTACATAGTCACTGTCGACCTGGCTGACCCAACAATGAGTGTCGCGGAGCTTCTCGCAGTGATAACCAGCGAACGACAAGCGCCCCTCATCAACTCTAACCAATCCTTGCGTGGAACCCGTCAGAGAACGCAGCCATCACCCCCCTGTGTAGACACATTTTCAATCTGCCAAGTCACAATGACCACATCCAGCAAGCCCAGGTCAGCAGGCGGTATGGGTGCAGCTGACTTGCATAGAAGGCAATAGCAGCTGACGGATCACTTAGGTCACTGCTATAGCGACAGTTCTAAAACCCTTGGCCCACATCAACCTTACCAGCCTGGCAGAAAAACTGCTGGCAGCGGCCGTGGCTGGCCTGTTCCATCTCAACATAGCGTCTGATCAACGCTGAACGTCATGAAGCCCCATCGCCGCACTGTTGTCAGTTATGCGAGTAGTCCGCTCTATTTTAACCTGGGTGACTGTTCCCTCTGTCGTGGTCGGATGAAACGGCTTTGCAAGGGCCGGCCCGTTCGTGCACAACGGTATCTGCCGTTTGTTCCACTTCGTGTCCTTTCAACTTCCCATCGTCAGGCAATATTCTATTGCTGGAGCATATTCAACTTAGTGCTTTGTGTGGAGCTTCGACTAAAAATGTCGACTCCGATAATGATTTTCCTTTCTCTTCTTTCTCTTTGCCTGTTATGTCATGATTATGCACCTCGCCATATTTGCTCATCTGCTGATTGCGGTTGGCAATGCATCCAAACATTTGCCATGGCTTCCGCGGTCGCTGCGTGATTTCCGCTCTAGGCTAATGGAGTGCAGCTTCCCACAGTGTATCGTAGTGTCTTAATGTCCATTGCCGTGGACTTACTCTTAAGCGTTTGCATCCTCATCTCAAGCTATACTGTGCAGTGCTCTTTGAACATTATAATACCGCATGGCTGTCTAAGCTTTCTACTACAGAGTTAATAGGTTGTGCATCGCCTTTCAACTGGTTAATTCGACATTGCATTGGTCATTGTCCCGTCAATACCCAAGGCCACAGTCATCACTGCCGATCGCGGGAGTTTATCGCGAAGCCGATGCATTTGCATTGGGATGCAATTTGAAACACGGCACGGCATGAGCAATATGAAGTCGAACGTCGTCAATCAAGACATCACTCCGTAGCCAGTCCAGAAGGCGAGCGCCGCCTTCCAACCTTGATATTCCTATAAACCCCTCAAGAGAGGCCATGGTTCTGATAGCGCTTGGTTGCACAGGTTGCGGCCCAGAACAGTGGCGGAACCCATTCATAGCCACCATGCGTTCCTCATTTTCTCCAGTAAGATGCCATACACCGGTTAAAAATCGCATGCCTAGGAACTAGAAATTGAGCGTTGCGTCTGCATACCATAAGTGCCTGCAATTGGAGATGTGTGTCTGTAGGTATAAAATGCCGTAAAGTCATCGATGGACTGACCGGCCACTCATGGGGTTGGGCGATTCAACAGTGCTTCAGAGTTTATATTCTACTCTTTGATCTGAATAACGCCTAACACTGTAACGCCACCGAGAGAGTGTTCGATCATCGTTGTCGGAAATAAGTGGCATGAACCAATTTCGAAAACCGTTTTTGCGGCAAATTTTACCAGAAAAAGTCGATCGTTAGATCCAGCTGTGTGCAGGGCAGCCAAAGCTGAGTCCAAGTGAATCTGAAGCCGTCAAGGATGGTGGCCTGAGGCTATCGAGCACGACAACAAGTTTATAGTAGATGCATGAAGGCTTGCATGCATTCGAGGCGCCAAACTTTCAAACTTTTTTTGTTGTGTCCTTTCCTTGTATTCCTCGGGAACGAGAAGCAAGGACGACCTGATAATGAACAAGCTAGTGTGCCAATTGTTATAATCTTGTCACTCAATCACTCAAAATGGCCTGTTGGATACGTGTAGCTGCAAGCTCAGAACAGCTATCATACGATGAGGTTTCAGTTGTCATAACCATTGCTTGAACTCTTCAGTTGCCAATGAAGCGACATAGAAAGGGTGTGATCCTGTATCGTTCGTACTGAACCGCTTGATTGAATGGTGCTTGGTGGTTGATCGTGTGGAGATGTCCGCAAACTCATAATTGCTTTTCGAACTCCACAAGCTGGCCTGCATCTCGATGATCAAGTCTTTCCACAAATTATTTTCAGCCTTGTAGGCTGCATTGGGCGCTCTCAAAACGGAATGCGCCAAAAAATGTCCATGTATAGGCTTCTGTAATTTCATTGTTGTTTCGAAGCCTACCTAGCAAAGGGCTGTCAGTCGTCACGTGGTAACTTATTACTTTAAATAATCGATGCCCATCTACTACTGGCATCATTGCTTCAAAGAGTAGATAGGGAAACTAGAGGTAGTAACGCAACAGACTGAAGAAGAGCTTGAGCACGAGTGAGAAAATGAGAAAGAAGGGAGGGGAGGAAGCTTTGTTTGTTTAAAGTGTCTCGTTATTATTTGCTGAGCTAATGCAAAGCCAAGGCGTAGTTGGCTCGAATCCTGTTTGTCCACGATTATGTGTAAGGGAGGAAGGGCGGGTGCAAAGAAAGGGTTGAGATTAATCTGGTTGGATCGGATGATGTCTTGGGTGCGGAGGAGCTTGTTCTAAATTGAACCCTGATAGTTGAGTTAGACGAACGGACTGGCCAGGTTTCGTGGTTGTCCTTGCCGTCATAATAGCAAGTGATGCTGTAGCATGTTGTTTGGAAAGATGAAGAGAGGCTGGTCCATTTTCATGGTGCGCAGTTCACGTCGGTAAGATGGATTGATTACACGACCTAATGTCCGTTTTGGGAACTCTGCACGTCGCCTCATATCCTTGTATTATGCAGCCCCTACCTTTCTCCTTGGTAGGCTTGAACTACAAAGACTCATCAGTGGGTATTGAGGGTTCTTGCTCGTGTTTACCATGCTCTGAATGCAGGTGATAATGAGAGGGTCGATGTTTTTGGAAAATGCAAAATAATGGATCCCTGCCTGCGAGCTACTCGCTGTATCGAGCGGTCAAGTTGAATGCTGTGTCATTTATTGGAATTCTTGTCCTGGTACCACCATAGCAAATGGTATGACGCTGCAGCTGACAGCGAAACCGGTTAGTTTGTGCATGCAGGTTTGGGAAAGGCGGTCGCGTTGCACCGTCATGGACCTTTTGATGCCCTGGCCCAATAGTGGTGCGCAGGAATGGAGGCGTTGATCCCGCGGTGAGGTAGATTGTTATAGGGCCATTCGCGTTGACGAGGGAGATGGATATGCGGGATATGTACGACGAAACGGCAGAAACGGGAGTATCCTTTAGGGAGCGGGCGGCGCGGCGTTGCATGGTCGGCAGGCCCCGGTCCTTGCGCAAGCCCCCTTGTCCCTTTGCCTTAGCATGTGGTCAGGGGTAGGGGTGGATAGGAAGGGGGTGAACACCCATGTCACCTGCTCATCGTTGGGATTCCCTGTTACAACACCGTCGCAACCATCTCTTAAGCTGTCTGCTGGTTACGAAATGATTCGAAACCGGAGAGCTCAAGGCGGCATAGTTAAGATCCTCTAACAACGCGGTTTACCAGCGCCACTTGGGCTGATCCAAGATGTGTGTGTGTGTGTGTGTGTGTGTGTGTGTGTCCAGAGCGGCGTGAAGTGATGCGAGACAAAGGGGGGCGGGGCTGTCTCTGCCTGACCCATGTGCTCGGTACGGGTACCCTCGAGGTACTGGGTACAACGCGACGTACGGACAACCTGGCAAACACCCAAGAAAATCCATGAGCCCGGTGGAACTGAGGGGATAGCCCCTCCCGCCAGAATGGACCGCTAAGGACGGAAAAAGAAAATCTGACAGGCGATTGGGTCTGCGTTAGTCGACCCATGGCCCGACGGTGCTGTCAGCACAAGCCTCTAGGTCCAGGGGCGGCGGCCACCTGGCTGCCAATGGGTGTGAGCGACCATTGTGTGGATTGTTGCTGGCTGGATACTGGGGCGTCCGTCGGACAAGTTTATCAGTCAAGTGATCACTGACAGGTGTGGGTGGATAGAGGGAACAAAGGCCTTCTTCACCACCACCCACAACCAGTCTAATTGATGGGTGCATTGCTCCTCGGAGTGTTAGGTGACAACCGTGTCGCATGTCCCATCTTGTCGGAATGCCATCACCGTTTTCCGCTGGCCGCATTCGCAAGATTGGGGCTGTATTCACAAACATTACTTGATGAGACGCAGCTTAGGTAAGAACCTCGCATTGTCTATAGGTAATAACAGCGACACGAGCGGATGTTTTGTTTCGCGCTCTGGCTAATGCACATTTAAGGAACTGGTTTGCGTGATTGATCGCCGCAGATCTGCTGGTAGGCTGGCAGATGGGAGCTGGTCTAGTGCTGGTCGGGCGTTGTTTGAATGTTCACATAGTATCTGGATGCGTGCAGATGGGACGAATGGACGGTTAATTGAGCGGAATGGCGGGCTACTACTGTATCGCTTGCTGGTTCGCACTGCGACGGGCGGGTCTACGAGCCGGTAGTTAGTAGATGGCTAGTCGGCGTTCCATCAGCTCGGTTCAAGCGTGACAGAGGATGACGACGAAGGCGACGGGTTCGAAGAGATGTGCCACTAGCACAGAGAGCTGGGCATACATGACGCTTGTCGGGGGGAGGGGCGTGCTTGTACTGGTTGAAAGTTTGGGGCTGGTTGGAGCCGGGCAGGTTACGTCCAATGCGGCTGGTCTGCCCAT